TAGCAGGTAAATTGTTTTCTTTTGTCAGGGACAGGAAAAGGGACGAAGCCATAGAAAATGAGAAACAAACACAATAATTCCATGGGCAGCAAATGCCCATGTGCCACGTTTCCAATGAATGAAAAACCCCCACGCATAAGCGTTCGAAGAAGAGAGATAGCGATTGCGGCATCAACCAGCAGCAGCACGTCTCGTACTATCTGTCTCACTCATCCGTAGAGGATACATCGGAGAGAGGGTAGCCCTTACCACTTCTTCCAAATACCACACATTTCGGTGTTGCCTTACTTATAGTCTAGGTCTAGGATACGAGAGTGATGCGTACTATCTGCTCGGCGTAACTGTCGCGTGCTCACGGACAGAGAAGTACCATATTTGTTAGTGCATAACTGTGTAGAAGACTGCAATCCATTGGATCCCGTGTTTTTAGTTCTTGTGAAAATATATTACAAAAGAGATTTTGAAACAGAAAAAATCAGAATGGGTAAACTGTATCAGGTAAAATTTTACTTTTTCATTTACTTATTATAAACCTGCAAGAATTATAATGTTTATGGCTATTATCCGAATTGTAACAGTTTATAACAGAGCTTGATCGGTAATAAATTAGTATTGTCTTTCACCCCGAGTAGAAATTTAACTTGTTTTTAGCCAGTAACTGGCTAGGATTTCTGATTACTAGCTAGTTTTTAACCAAGTTGGCTGACCAGAAACTGATAAGTTTGGGCGACGCTTGTTTTGCCAATAACTAGACAATAAAACTAGTCAGTTTTTGACCAGTTTTTAACAAGATTCTGATCAGTTTCTAATCAGTTTTTTAAAACTTCTTGACCAGTTTGTTTTCAGTTTCTATCCAATTTCTCTATTTTTTAGTAGTTTCTATGTAAGCAGTTAATTTTCTAAATAATAGTTTATGTAAAAATTATATTCTTTAATCTTTTTATTTTACTTCAGTTTTTTTATAATTTTTGTTTTTTAACACATATAATATGTATTTTAACACATAATATTTTTACAAAACCCTTAAATATGTTATAATTAATTACAATTATTGTATTACAATTATTATTAGTACGACTGTTATAAAAATATTAATCCATTATTATAATATTATAATACTAATGTACATTCAAAATTATATTAAAACTATTATTTTTATTAAAATTATTTGAACACTTTAACATTTTAATATGAATCTCAATACAGTACACAATACAATATACAATTACAATTAATATTCCTCGGCATGTAATAATGCAGAAGCATAAAACTCCTCGACTTTTTTGTTATTTTCTTTACGAAGTATTGGAATTACAAGAATTTTACTATAAATATCGTGTACATTACAAGAAATTATTGTAGAAGATACATTTGGTGCTAATTTCCACTCTTGTAAATTATTTGATAGTAGTGAACGTATACATATATCTTATTTTTTTCCAAACATATCCTTTAATTTCATAAGTATTACTTTGTAATGTATTACACATGATGTTAGTTATTTGCATTATTATATTATTTTTTAACAATACAATATTATTTGGTTTTTTAGTACTTAATGTAAATCCTTTATAATTTATTTTGAGTATAACAGATTGATTATTGCAATTATATTTTTGTTTTAAAATAGATATCTGACAATGAGTGGTTGTACATAATTTTGGAATATTATTCATTTCATGAAGACGTCGGCACACCTGTGATAGAGGATGATTACCAGTACGAATCATTTTTCTTATTCTGCCTAACATACTTTCATAAGGAAAGGCTGATATGTTATCCAGTGTGCAATGAAAAAATTCTACGTCATCAACAATATGAATTAAATTATGTACATCAATGCTAAGAGAAGTATTGCCATAAAGAAGTGGCATTATGTCAATAAAACTATCTAAATATTTTCGTGCTTCATTATAAATAAATGAATAAAATGTGAATTACACAGTATTCTAAAAGCAGTATGTAATAAGCAATAATGTTTATATATCTGAGTACTAAGGATTCTCTTGAATAATAAGGGACCTATATACAGCAAAATAAATCTGAATTCTGATGCTTTTAATTGAGTGACTGGTTTACGTGGCTTGCGTTGGAAATCACACGGTGTCCATTGTTTTATATAGTCAATTCTTTCATCTAATATACGACGATAAGATGGTTTCAATTTTGTGTGTGTGTGACCAAAATACCATAAATCTAAATATAATTTTTTCATTATTCCTAGGCAAGCCAAATGCATGTATTCAAGCGGAAAAGAATTTATTATGTTTATTGGTGGTTCAATCTTTAGTAATGGTGACTGTCCTGTATGACATAATTGACGTTGATTACGAAATGATATACACATGATGTTAGTTATTTGCATTATTATATTATTTTTTAATAATACAATATTATTTGGTTTTTTAGTACTTAATGTAAATCCTTTATAATTTATTTTGAGTATAACAGATTGATTATTGCAATTATTTTTTTGTTTTAAAATAGATATCTGACAATGAATGGTTGGCCAAAATTTGTTCTTTTCTCACAATATTTATCGCGTGGATATACTACCTTTTTAGTATTATTTTTAGCAGAAACACTAATACCATATACTTCGCATCGTTCACAAGCACCGTAACCACCATGACCAATAATAGATTTTAAAAACTTTCGCGCTGGTGTGTCACAAATAAAACTAGGAATTTTTAATTTAAATTTTTTTCCATTAATTATTAATCCTTCCGACATTAATACATTAATTTCTTGTATAAATTCTTTGAAAAAATCACCATTACTTACAGGCTTGCTATTTCCATTATAAATTGCTACGCAGAATGGACTGTACATATTAGATTCACAAATTACCTTGCACAGAATAGGCCAAAATTGTTTCGAACTAGAATTAAACAATGTCATTCCATCAACATTAAATTGTAAAGAGATATCTGATGAAGAATGAAAGTCAGAAAGAAAATATTTATGAAGCCATTTTTCTAATCCGAAATAAACAAATTCACCGGCCGTGTTATCTATTCCGTGCATTGTTCGTATATCGTAGGAAGCTTGAGTAGTAAATAAAAATGTCTTTGCACATTTGGGCAAATTAGGATAACTATGACGACGTAAAATATTTACAAGTTCTTCTAAATTATTTTGACGTATATTACATTTTATAGCCCATTTGCGTATATCGTTAATATCTATTTCTTTTTCATTTTCATTGACTTTTACTTCTTTCTTCGTTTTATAGTATTCAGTTTTGTCCATTTGTTGTATATGCATTACGTCTGAATAAAAAATATCTGTATGTTCACCACGCTTTTCATTTGAGTCTTGTACATAAATTTCTTCAGGTTGCGAGATAATGTTGCGATCCTTATTTAGTAATAATTGATTACATGCCAAAGAACAAGCTTCATGTTCATTATTTTCATTTTCTTCTTTTTTACCACATTGTTTTTTATTTTGTACTAGAAAGAAAAGAAATATAATAAATTATAATATATGTTTTTATTATTGTGTATCTTCCCTCTTTGATATTATATAGTTTAGCATGGTAAATTGTGTAAAAAAAAATTACCAGTTGTTAATGCAACTTTATTTTCTTGTTTTTTATGTCCATTTTCTTCTCCTTCTTCTATATTGTTTATATTATATGACTTTTCACTATATTTTAAACGTTTGCATCGTACTAGAAAACATTGAAATGTACTACTATTACAATAAATTATAATATACCAAAATATTTTAATATTTTAACATTTTAATATTTTAATTTACTGTTCTAATCTACTGTTCTAATAAAAGGCTGTGTTGAAAGATCAACGATTTATCGGCGTGCAGTTAGATTTGATTAGTACAATATACGAGTATAAAGGGTACCTCCGGTTAAGACAGTCAAAATGACCTTATCTTTTAAAAGGAAAACTAAGTGTCTGTACATGTGTATATACTAACAACAAAATTTTCCGTAACGTCCCCGTCCTCCCTTCTCCCACCGCCCCTCCAATAACGCAAAAAATCGCTAATTTTGCCTAATATTTTTTTCTCAAACCCTGTCTAATGAAAAATTATTTAAAAAATTGAGTAACTAAACATAATAGAACTGCATTAATACAAATTTTTTCAATGCGTAGGGAACCTATCTTCTTATTGTTAGTTTTAAAAAATCCTAAATATGAAAAATCGCAATATTTTCGAGAAAACTCTATTAAACTTTGACCTACTCCTCAGCCTTTGTATGGTCAAGTCAAGTGTATTATGAACTAATAGCTTCTAGAATCGAAACGAATGAAAGTGCGGTGTATCCAACGAAACATCCCTTACGAAAAAGTAACGAAATAATTACTAGAAAATTACTGTATATCAGTAATTGAACTATCAGAAATTACTGATGTACAGTAATTTTCTAATAATTATTTCGGTACTTTTCCGTAAGGGATGCCTCTCTCTCTCGTTCTAAGCGCAATCGTTGATGTATAATTTACCGACTATGAACGATATTCAATCTTTCCATCGAACTCGCTTTTCTATTTCTTCTGCACTGTACGTTGCAATTTTGCTGCAAAATCAACGTAAGAAAATGTGTTACATCATCGTACATGCAGGATCGGATGGTTTTCAACTTGTATTTGCAACAGGAAATGTAGGAATAGCATCCAATATACATATGTATGCTGTAACTTAATTTTCTACAACAATATATTTTTATAATTATTTCGCTTATAATTTTTATCTTTTGAAAGAGAGAGGGGAGGGGAGGGAAGAGAGAGAGAGGGGGGAGAGAGAGAGAGGGAGAAAGAGTTCTATATTCTAATAAGTTTAAATTTATTATGCCTCAGTCAACTTGGTGAGACGCCCGTCTAGCATGTAGGAAAGGTCCTGGTTCAAACTCTGGCTGAGGTAATACTTTTTCGCAATAAATTTCTTTAATTAAAATTTGCTAGTTGTGTCGATTAGGATAATCAGGTAATTCTAATTCTCCACGTTACATTACATACATACTCAGTGCCCAACAAGGGCTATCTGATTAGTGCCTGATCAGGTATTAGGGCATGTTTATTAGGTCGTTATCAGGACCCTACTAAAATTTCTGCACGAGATGTCGGAGTTTGCAACATAATGTATTACTCGTTACCGCTTCTAAGGCATTAGAAACCTAAACGAATATAGAAATAGGATTGTCGCCAACTAGCCAGTAGTTCAATTGAACGTGTCGTTATGAAAAAAAGAGAGTGAAAAGATGTACTCATTTGGTATAATTAAAAAATGTGTTTTTTTCATCTGTTTCTTATACTTGAAACATATGCAAAAGTCTTCTACAAAACGGAGGCATCTTATCGAACAAAATTGAACGTAAAATTAGATTCAATAATGTTATGAATGAATGTACTGGTTATATTTTTTGAAGAGACGGTTATATTAGGAAGCTCTGTACATAAGAAAATAACAAACTTGATTTTTCATTTTTTAAAACCATAATGTTTGAAAAATATATTGTAGAAAATTAGAATTTTGAAAACTTAGCAGAGTTATGAAGCACAGATTATGGTTCTAGAAATAGATTTGCCTAGTGTTGAGCCGGTAGCAGGTAAATTGTTTTCTTTTGTCAGGGACAGGAAAAGGGACGAAGCCATAGAAAATGAGAAACAAACACAATAATTCCATGGGCAGCAAATGCCACGTGCCACGTTTCCAAAGAAGGAAAATCCCCCACGTATAAGCGTTCGAAGGAGAGAGATAGCGATTGCGGCACCAACCAACAGCAGCACGTCTCGTATTATCTGTCTCACTCATCCGTAGAGGATACATCGGAGAGAGGGTAGCCCTTACCACTTCCTCCAAATACTATTTCGGTGTTGCCTTACCTATAGTCTAGGTCTAGGATACGAGAGTGATGCGTACTATCTGCTCGGCGTAACTGTCACGTGCTCACGGACGGAGAAGTACCATATTTGTTAGTGCATAACTGTGTAGAAGACTGCAATCCATTGGATCCAGTGTTCTTGTAAAAATATATTACAAAAGAGATCTTGAAACAGAAAAAATCAGAATGGAAAAACTGTATCAGGTGAAATTTTACTTTTCCATTTATTTATTATAAACGCGCAAGAATTATAATTTTTATGGCTATTAACTGAATTGTAACAGTCTATAACAGAGCTTGATCGGTAATAAATTAGTATTGTCTTTCACTCATTACTTGGGCCCGGACGTTCGGGCCGTTTTTAGGTGCGCGCGCGGAATACCACTGCGCGTGAGTAAGACGCGCGCTCACTGAGTAATAACTTATTATTCTAATTTTATCAATCTCATTGTTAGTAGAAAATTCTTTCCGCGCTTTATGTATGTACATATGTAATTCCCGCCTCACTTCATATTTACGGATAGAGCGGACTAGAGTGAGTCGAAAAATCGTCTACCATTCTGCAATTTTTTTTCGCAATAGTTGACGAGTTATTGTTATTAAAAATCGCTATCTTAGTCCGGCCTACCGCCCAAGTCAAGCGCGCGGCGAGATGCGGCCGTCCCGACTGCCGCGATCGGCATTGCTGGGCGCACGAAGAGTTGTTTTTTGTGTATACGTAGCCGTTGCTGTGTGTTATAAACAATTCTCCGTGCATCTAGCAACGGCGATCACGGGACGGCTGCATGCAAGTGTCAGGTTGCTGGCGTTGCTGCCATCCCAGTGAGAAATGATTCGTCGATCGACGTCGAAACGACGTCGAATCAACATCGACACCGTCGAATTGACGTCGATCGACATCATTTCGACGTCGATCGACGAATCATTTCTCACTGGGACGCAGCCACAGCGATAGTGGAGATATGATTGGGATGGTTGCCATGCAGCTCGGTTATTGCGACTAGAGTTCCGATAAGTAAAGTTATACCAATGTAACGAAAGTCACCATTTTTCGTTAAACCACGTACAAAGAGAGCGTCGAGTGGCACTGTGAGGCACAAGAACCATCCCGACCATCTCCCCACTACCGCTGTTGCTACGTGGCAGCGACCACTGATGCCAGGCGAAAACGTTTGCCACATCGCTACAGCGGTTATGGGGGTAGGAGTGGAGATGGCTCCTACACCGTATACATATATGCTACATGCTACGTGCTGCGTACCTGCGCACCCATACATATACGGCACGTAGCTTGTGTGCGGCACGAGAGCCATCTCCACTCTCAACCCCACCACCGCTTTCGCGATGTGGCAAACGTTCTGGCCTGACATCAGTGGCAACGACCTGAAACTTATATCTTTGGCGACCGTCCCGCGATTGGCTTTGCTAGGCGCGTGGAGAATTATATATGACTTACGACAACGGCTACGTATAATGAATAACTAGCAATGCCGATCGCAGGACGGCCGTATCTCGCCGCGCGCTTGAATTGGACAGTAGACCGCGGGCTAAGACAGTGATTTTTAAAACTAATAAAAAAACTTGTTAATTATTGCAAAATGGTAGACTTATCGACTCAGTCTAGTCCGCTCTATCCGTTAATAAAAGGTGATGCGGATATTACATAGCACCCTGTATACACAATTGAAATGTTACTAGAAACCACTCCTGAAAAAACACCCAATTACCTCTTACCACGTGCGCTAGTCTCGATTCTCGAGAAACAAGAAGCTTTTCATCGATATCTCCCATTCTTGTCTTTTCAAATATAAAATATGTATGAATACGCTCGGTATTGAATAACCGGTGTAGTTAAGTTTGACGATTCAGAAAATCAAAAGTTTTCCCTATTATATTTTGATAGATAAAGGTATGCAAAATTTTTATTTACCCATACAGCACCAAAGCTTTCAGAAACAGTTCAGAAAACATTGTTGCAAAGTTGCAATGTTTCTGAAATATTTCTGAAAGCTTTGGTGCTGTATGGGTATACACTTTGACCGAATAATGGTGTCCAGGTTGGGGGGGGGGGGGACGATTGGGAACGGGGATACTTAAAAATCCCGTATCGATAGTTCTATGTATTGCCGACAACCTAGATCGGCGCGCAGTTTTAAAGTAAAGAAGCTTAGTACTGTTTATTGCGACAAATATTACCACATGCCTCAATGGTCAAATTAATGAGACGCCCGCCTAGAGTGTAGGCAGGTCCAGGTTCAAACCCTGGCTAAGGTAATATTTTCCGCAATAAATTTCTCTAATTAGAATTGGCCTGCTGTGTAATTTAGCGATTTTTCTACATTGGTTATACAAAATTGTCCAAGTAATGGGTTCCGAAATCAGTTGGCGCTATTTTTAGCGGATAACGCTCAAATTAAAACGAAATACATAATAAAATACACACTGGATATCCGGTACACAGGTATTCAGTTAGGGTTAACATAGGCTCTTATTGCGTCTTTCAGCTATTCTGTCCGATTCCGGGGTTTGTTTGGCAACAGAATGCCAATAATATACCAAAACATCTACATAACCTGAACAGTTTGACCCAGTATGCGGATGAAAAGTGCTACAAAGTGGCCATCCCACTATGTAAAAAAGTATTGCATGATCTGAGAAATATGTTTAACCCTGTTGAACCCGAAGTGACACTCATGCTCAATACATTTGCTCTCGTATGTATATATCAGAATAAGTACAGAGAAGCTGCAAACAGGCTGCAGGTTATGCTTTTCAACATTACAATGTTTAAAAAGGAGATGTTAGATAAGTCTGCCAAATTTCCAATAGATGAGGCGTTTAAGAGGATCCCGTAGCATGTCTGTTTTACCGACATTCGTAGTTCTAACCTATCGTCGTATTAAATTCATGGAATCAAAAATGCTTGCGTACAATTACAGTATATGCATTGATGATCCGGGGAAACTCCAATTTGATACCAAAAATGAGTAAAAATTACAAAATTCATATATCGATCACATATAACCGTGTAGACGAACTGTCAACTCCGTCATATTTGTGCTTCGTATAAAAGTTCTACAACTTGTACTCACATGAAACTGAGTTTCCCCGGATTCGATGACATGTAGAATTACTGTGAAACCCTCTAAATTGGGATTAGATGTTTAAAATAAGAGTATAGCTAGAATTAAACTTTCGTGTTTATGCCTGGGTGTGATGTATCGTAGTAGTGTGTCCGTGTGCTCATGTATATGCTGCGTTTCGTGTTTAGATGGCGCACACCATCAAAGGCCTCGACCTTGGGGGATCCTCTTAAGTACCTCGATGTGTTGCGTAAAGCACAAAAAAAGTTTAAACGACTTTTACAAAAACGAACACAGGAGGTAGATGAGGCATTAGATACTAATTGCCATTATTTGGCTCTATCAAAGCTGAATAATCTGCTGTACTCTAAGTATAACGAGTCAAAGAAGAAAGAACTACGCCACTTCCGGGAGAGAATGGAGACTAAGATTAACAGTAGTCTGGACTGTTCAGACGCTGCTAACACGAAAAACGATCTAGCAAATTATTACATGATGCAAGGAAGGCACAAGAAAGCGGAGGTGCTATACAAAGAGGTGCTCGCTACGGCGTATAGGATAACACTGGATGTTCTTAAGGGAGCAATGGATGCTCACTACTGTATACTGGATACCACGGATTTCGACTATAAACGGTCTCTGAATCAGGCAGAGTACATGAATTTTCAAGCATGGGTATATGAGAGTGAGAACAACCACGATATGGCACAGTTCTTGTGTCAGAAAGCAATCCACAATGGTGCGTATATATATTCGATGAAAACAATCCAATTTTTGCTGACATTAAATGCGACCTAGCACGTTCCTATGCGAGGCAAGGAAATTACGAGAAGGCGGAGGAGTTATACCAGCAAGTGCTCGATAGGACGCTTGATATACAGGTTAGTACCATCGATAGTGACAGCAAGCCGATTTGGCGGGTACGGGAATAATGAATCACTAGTACAATGTAATTAAGTATTTAACTTTCGGAAATCTTTTTAGAAAACAAAAGTAATATCCAAAAGGTTCCAGAATTATATAAAAAAAGAGCCTGATTCAAGGACACATACTGTATTCGCTGTAATTTCCTTAGAAATTTTTTATGAAAATTTTAAATATGCCAGTAACTCACTGTTACAAAATTTCTTTAAAATCTGTCCTTTTCTTGGTATTAAGATGCGCTCTACGTTAGAACATTTTATTATTGGGGAGAATAAATATGAATGAATTTAACTGTTTTGAATTCTTGACAAAATTCTTGAAAATTTATTGAATTTTCTGATCGACCTTTTAATTTCTGTTTTAGGTGGTTGAAGAAGAGCAGGAGAACAAACACAGGAAGAAGAACACTGGCAACAGTGGATACGAGATCGGGGAGATGAATTCTTTCTTTATCGAAATTGCCTTACGAGACCTCATTGACATTTATAAAAAAGGGCCAAATGATTACAGATCTACAGCAGAGGTGGTGGCCCCTGAAGAGTACGCCATAAGAGTTCTAGGAAAGGTAGATACCAAGTTTCATTAATTATGTTGTTAAAAGAATACAAATATGTAATTGCAAATAAGACAAGGTTTTTTGCAACTAACAAAATTTCTTGTCTTTTGCACACACAACATGTACTGTAAGAAAATTGAAGCTTCTTAGTAGTATTTTGGAATTGTGCAAGATCTTTGAACATTGGAAAAATACACAAAGTTAATTTTCTATCTCATAAAATGCATTTTTATTAATTTCTTATTATATTTTTAATTTACATAACATGTTAATTACTACGTAATGTTATGCTGTATTGTTTCCTTTGGCAGGTAATGAAACTGGTGAAGATGTTGCTGGGGGACAATGAAAATAGTTATACCGAACACGGCTCACAGTCCCATACAGCTAATAGCAAACATGAACCATGTGACGAAGAGGTGAGTTTCTCTCTTTCTCCTGTTTTATCATTTTGACGTATAAATTACCCGTATGTACTTCCGCATATCTTGTAGTAAGTAATCGACACAAATATTTGTAACCCTCTACTATTCTTTTCCTTTCTCGTTTTGCTCTTTTTTTTCCAACACAATTGTAAATAATACAAGTCTATTTGCAACTAATAAGCATTCTTTCCTTTCGCACACGCAGCACGTGCAACAATGAGTAAAAGTTTGTTAGCGTTATTCTGGAATTTTGCAGGATCTTTGCACATTGTAGAATTAACGAGTTTTTATTTATAACGTTTAAAATACCTCTTCTTACTAATTTTTTCAAATTATACATTATAAGTACATGAATACACTTGTATCATATAGTTATTATATAAACGCTAATTAATAAAGAACTCTAATTAAATTGTTTTCTTGTAGTGTATTATAATTAAGGACGATAGTACAGCTGAGAGAGACACAGGACCCCTTTACCTATCGAAAGAAAATGCATCAATTTTGAAAGAAATAACTTATAAAGAGAATTATAATTCACAATATGATACCATAGTATCATATTGCATGCAGTGCACTGCACGCGAACACAAAGTGTGTTTCCTGTTTCGGATTCCACGCTATGCATTATCACGTGATGTTTGGATAGAAGTCAAAAACGTTCCAAAAAAAAAGTCTACTTCTATGAAGTCTATTTTTAATGAGTTTTTCATTAAATTACTGAGAACGATTGATAGTGGGAAGATTAATTTAGATATGGAAAAAAATTATTTTCATGTGATGATGAAGATATTTAATAAAAGTATGAACTTGCTTAATTCTAAAATTCTTGAGTATTACTACAGTTTCTGTCAGATGAATGCTTCGGTACACATAGATCTTGAGATGAAAATAAATCTGAGCTTGAATGTCTTAACGTTAAAGAAGGAATTGGGTGAATTTAGGAAACAGCAAAAAATGGAGAAAAATGAGCAATCAACCGAAATACACGAGAGAGATATATCTGAGGAAGACACTTTAATGAAGTTCGACTTGACCTTATATATTCTTCAATGTATATGTGATGAGTTGATGCTGAGGACAAGAAACCCATTTCTTGTTAAGTTAAACACTGAAAACAATGTAGTATACAACAAGATGCATGACGTACACTTTATAACAAGATTCATAATAGAAGAAATTAACCTTATAAAAGCATGTAAAGAAGTAATGGATGCAAAAAAAATATCACATGCAAAATTAGGTGAAGGTTTAAATAAAGCGTTATATGAAGAATCAAATAAAAAGCCACTTAAGATTTCAAAAGAATTAAATTTAAAATTTGATGGAAAACTGGACGAAACATTAAGCTCTACAAATAATTTAGAAAAAGAAGCAGATAAGTCATGCAATATACAAGAACCATGTGAGGACGAAACGGTATCACCACGTGAATTAATGGAAAAAAAGGAATTATCAGTATTAAATGAACTGGAACCAGCATTTCAAGAATATGAGAAAAAATCAATAATAAAAGAATCACATACAAAGGAATCATCAAAAAAAGTAATGGATGAAATAAAATCATTATATGAAGAAATAGATGAAAAGGATATACTCATAAAAACTTCAGATTTCTGCATGAGAGTAGATACTGAAAGTAGTGTAGTAGACATAAAAAGCACATCATGTATGAAAATAAATAAACCAGTTATCGAATGCAGTAATGAAGCACTTCACCCATTAATACCAGACACTGACTGTGATTCCCTAGACGTAAATTGTTGTGATTTTGGAATAACTAATACTACAAGTACGAAAGATACAATACAAAATCATGAGAAATCATCAGACATCGTACAATTTATATTATATATTATTTAAATTGTCAAAAAGAAATGGAAAACATAATGATTGTGAGTGAGGATCCAGTTGTAATAGAAAACGAAAATACTACTGAAGCTGTAATTGAAAGTGCAAATTTCATAACTGAAGATCATTTTAAAGGGGCTTTCGAGGCGTATTATGATCCAAAGGTATTCACAGCATTACAAGTGTTTTAAAACAAAGTAGAGTCTAGTATAAAAAAAGCGTTATTACGTTATAATTATTAAGAAGTATTTCTTATTTTTAATAATTTTTAGGTTTTTATAAATAGTTTAAAGATAACTGTATTACAGAAAAATATTATTGGCCGTAAATGTTAATTGTTATTTAAATAGACATAATATCATTTTTATAAGTAGGATTTAATTCTATGTTCTTGTATTACACAATTGAGACGAGAAATGTAATTTATTAATTTGTATTACTTCCAGTGTATTTCGACCAAGTACGAAGGGACAACAGAAAAACATGAGGAAAAAGATGAGAACACTGCATACGCGGAAGAAATTCCAGAAGATTTGAAAGACGATAGTTCAGAGGTATCATTAATTATAAGAATTTACGAAGAAAATAGAACCCCTACTGCAAAAAAGATAATTATTCGATGATAGTTACGAAATAGTATTCTTTCTTAAAAATATAATAGAATTTAATTCCATGTTCCTGCATTGCACAAATGAGACGAGAAATTGTATACATTTAATTAAGGATATAATTTTAAAAACTTATACAATTTAATATTTACTCCTGTAATACACAATTACGACGGAAAGTCTAATTAATTAACTTATATTATTTTCAGTGGGTTCTAGTCGAACACGAAGAGATAGATGAAAGTTATAAAACACAAAATGAACTTCAGAACACCTCAGAAGTTGAAAATACACAGAATACGTTTTTCTTTTTTTAAGAAATTTCTAATTTATTAGGGTTAAGAATTGGAAAATAAAATAACGTTTTCTCAGCATAAAAACCGGTTATTAAGTAATAATTGCGAATGTAATGTTTCAAACACTTGGAGGATTATATTTTGCTAAAAGAAAAATTAAAGAAATTAAAAGAAGAATTTGAAGAAGAAAGGAGAGAAATCTGAGAAGATATAAGCAACTGTTTGCACAACTAATAAATATTGAACAGCAGAGTGACATTTCAGAGGAATCAAAGTATGTATGGTATAACGATATATAAAACAATTATGTAGAGAGAGAATTAATAACGATGAGGGATTTAAAGATCTTGGTAGCATTTGACAAATTAATTGTATAACAGTTGACATTTATAAAAAAATGTCCATGTTCTCTCGCGTGAATGGTCAATAGGGTAAGCTAATAGGTTAAGATATATATGTGTAATAGGTAATAGGAAATGATAATAATAATAAGAAGAATTAGGTTAAGGCGTAGGTTAAGGACATTATAGGAGGTCCGTAAATGTGCCCCACAAGGGAACAAATACAAACTACTATTACATATACTACTACTAGTATAACCATGTTTCTGTAAACAATTTAAAGAGAAATGAAGAATTGCAAATTTTCCACCTGCTAAAACCATTTTTTTCTGTGATTCTTATACCTTCTTATAAATTTTTATAAATATACTTTAGAAAATAGCACTTGCCAATATGCTATTTTTCATCGTTGAGAAATTGTAATAATTGTTTTATCCTAATTGTTCGGTATATTGTTATATGTATAATAATTATATGTCCTAATACTTTATTTTGTAAGATAATATAAATAATATGTTGTCATAAATTATTCTTTCTAATGTTTTTATAGTTGGTCTTCAAGCATTTTTAAAGAAGGAATGTATTCTTTTTTTAATAAATAGATTGGAGATATTTAAAGGATATTTTAAACTAAAGGGAAGGATAAAGTGGTAAATTATATATCGCCAGTAATTTAAAAACAAATTTCCATAAGATTCAGCGACCTACACTGGCTAGTGTTTTTATTGAAAAACGAATTTACAACGTTTCGGCCCCGGATTTGGGCCCTTTTCAAGTATTCTTAGTGAATCACTGCGTCATTATTCAGTCGTTTACCCTGTGATAAAATATTGGTCAATTTGATTTCCTGTTCTTTGTTAGAAGAAAGGTGAGTACGTTTAAAATGTCCGGACATGACTGTGTTAACATGTGGCATTTTAAACGTACTCACCTTTCTTCTAACAAAGAACAGGAATTCAAATTGATCAATATTTTGTCACAGGGTAATGGTATTGGCTAAACGACTGAATAATGACGCAGTGATTCACTAAGAATACTTGAAAAGGGCCCAAATCCGGGGCCCGGAAACGTTGTAAATTCGTTTTTCAATAAAAACACTAGCCAGTGTAGGTCGCTGAATCTGATGGAAATTTAAAGGGAAGGATATTTACAACTGCGAAATGTTTTAGTAATATTACCATTTTAAATATTATTTTAATTTTATTAAAAATTCTTGTATTAAAAAACTGTAGGCATACTTTCTTTCACATACCTTTATGAAATATTTTTATTATAGCGTAATTTAATGAAAAGTGATGTTACTTTTCTAGTGAAAATCGTTAAAATAATTGAAGTTCTGACAAATGTAATGTGATGCTACATAAAGTAATAAAACTCAATTATTAAACCTTGACCTACTCCTCAGTCTTTGCATGGTCAAGTGTATTATGAACTAGTAGCTTCTAGAATCGAAACGAATGAAAGTGCACGGTGTATTCAACGAAACATGCCTCTCTCTCGTTCTAAGCGCAATCGTTGATGTGTAATTTACCGACTACGAACGATATTCAATCTTTCCAACGAACTCCTTTTCTATTTCTTCTGCACTGTACGTAGTAATTTTGCAGGAAAATGAACGCAACAAAGTGTGTTACATCATCGTACATGCAGGGTTGGATGGTTTTCAACTTGTATTTGCAACTGGAAAGTTAGAAATAGAATCCAATATACATATGTATGCTGTAACTTAATTTTCTACAACAATATTATATTTTTATAATTATTTTGCTTATAATTTTTATCTTTTGAGAGAGAGTGAGAGAAATAACACAGTTTGCCCCTTTTTCCTAATGCATTGATTTTTAAATAATTTATATTTCAAATTGCTGAAATAATACCATAAAGTACTTAAAAATGTATACTATGTAGAACATTCTATATAGTGTTAGTATATACATATATCATAAATTTTACAAGAATAAAGACTTATTGTCACCAGTAAATAATTAACCAACGTAGGAAATTATGTAGGAAATTAATTCTAATTAAAGAAATTTATTGCGAAAAATATTACCTCAGCCAGGGTTTGAACCAGGACCTTTCCTACATTCTAGACGGGCGTCTTACCGATTTGACGACCGAGGCATAATAAATTTAAAATGGTTAGAATATAGAACTCTCTCCCTCGCACGCACGCACGCATGCACGCACGCGCGCGCGCAGAAATACTCTTGCATCATACTGCACTTTCATAAACTTTTAAAATATTTTTTAATATATCGAATACGTATCTAGCCTGTATAATTGATTTGATATGCCTGTATAAATGACTTTGAATGTATATATATCAGTCCCGTTATTATTTCGTCCGAGTAGGTCACCGACACCTCACCAAAGTTCTTGCAATCGAGTATTGGACCTGTTTCGTGAGCGGATCATTTTCATTGTCGTTGAAATCCTGGTAGGGCATGCCGACCTATTTTTACAATAAATTGTCTTAAACTTAGAACATAATCTTGAACCTTTTATTTTATTTTATTAAATTTCCAAATATTCTACATGCTACCGTATGATAAAATATCGATATTTTTAATTATACAATGTATTACAATACAAATAATGAAATCATGCTTTTACAGAGAAGATATAATTAAATAAACAGTTTGGGAAATTGAAGGGAAAGAAAAAGCACATAAGAAATAAAGTGTTACGCGTCTCTCAAAGAATTTATCGAATTAGTCATTTGTTACTATCTTATGTTATAATCTCAAATGTTATCAATTCAATTCACGGAAAAAAATTTTGTACAAGAAATGTGAACAGACATTTCTTTGTTTTTTATCTGCCTGCAAGATGTTTAAAAAAAATACAATTCTCACACATAGAGATTTATTAAGGTACGAAAAAGATAAAAACATTTTCAGCAGATTGCACTATGATTGTAGCAGTGCACAAATCGTGCACTGCTACAATCATAGTGCAATCTGCTGAAAATGTTTTTATCTTTTTCGTACCTTAATAAATCTCTATGTGTGAGAATTGTATTTTTTTTAAACATCTTGACCGTCACTATTTAAAATACATTTTATTGATTCCCTCTTAGGGTTACAAGGCGTTTTTGAAGGAACGTGCCCAAAACCTCTTATAACACCTCCTATATCCACTTCGCTATGTGGCGATCGAACGAAAAACCAACAATGTTTTGTGTGGTTTTGAACCCGGATCTTCGGATTACCAGACCAACGCACAATCCTGTGCGCCACGATCGCCACAGATCTTTGTTATATCTTTGTAATATATTTTTATTATAGCATTCTATACAGCACGCATGTCTAAAAGACATCTTTAAGACGTCTTAAGTCTTTTAGATATACGTGTTTGGAATATTTTAATAAAGAATGATATAAACTGTACAGTGACAATCGTTAAAACAATTGAAGTTCCGACAAATGCAACTTGATGCTCTATAAAATAATAGGCACAGCTCAGTCGTTAAACCTTGACCCACCGTCGGCCTTTGCATGGTCAAGTGCATTATGTACTAGTAGCTTCTGGAATCGAAACGGTCGGATGAAAGTGCATGCTGTATCCAATGAAACATGCCTCTCTCTTGTCCTCAACGCAATCGTCGAGGTGTAAATTTACACCGGCCACGATTTATTCGAACGAGCTTCTTTTCTATTTCTCCTGCAATAAATGTGCAGTGCAATTTTACAGAAAAATCAATGCAACAAAGTGTATTACACCATCACGTATTCAGGGTCGGTCAGTTTTCGACTTGAGATTTGCGACTGGAAATAGGATCCAAGATATGTGTATGCTTCTTCATTTTCAATATTATATAATTTTTATAATTATTTTGCTCAATTTTGATACCGTTAAATTAACACACTAAAATTCTCGACGATCTGTTTTAATGCAATATTTTATAATTTATATTCAAGCTACTAAAATATAAAAAATTTTATAGATTAAGCTATACAAATTACACAGAACAACTTTATCTTCACTTTTGAAATATAAAAGTATTTAAAAGGTACTTTTACAATATGCTAAATTTTAGGTTATTAGATAGAACCCCCCCCCTCTCTCTCTCTCTCTTTCTCTCTCAAACAATTACACTTATGTACAGGCAATTTATTTTCAGGAACAATAAGCTTTCTGTATATTTTTTACTTTTCGAACACATGTCTACCCAATATGGTCGATTTGGTTGTCTTTGAATGGACGCATGTCGGTCCCGTTATCGTTTCGTCCGAGTGGGTCACCGGCACCTTGCCAAGATTAACTCGCAGCCGTGCATCGGACTTGTTCCGTGAGCGGGCCGTTCTCAGTGAAAACCTGGTGGGGCATGCAGGGACGGCTTGTTTTTACAATAAATCCCCTTTGCAACTTAGCACACAGTCGTTTAAGTTAATTTAATTTTATTATAAATTTCCCAATTTTGCACATAGTAATAATTAATAAGAAATCGATATTTTAAATAATATATAATACATATTTATAAACAATGAGATTGCACTTTGATGAAAAAAGGGATAATTAATTAAGCAGTGAAGTGAAAAATTAAGGAAAAAGAGAAAGCAAGCAAAATTGAGTGTTAAGCGTAAAAATAATTATCACCTTTTTTTAAATATCTTATGCGAAAATAGAATAATTTAATTGCTAAGTAACTTGTTTAAAGTCTTATTTAATAATATTAATACCTATAAATATCACGTTGTGTTCTTCGAACATTGCTTTTTGCATTATAATGAATTAAAAAATCCTTGATAGTTAATTTTAAATTAAAAAAGTTATATTACATGCTTGAATATTAAGTTTCATGTGCTGTACAGATTTTATTTTAATCTAACATTAAAATAATTTTAAAACACATAAATTAAATAACAAACAAGAGATAAACGTTAGAGTTGGAAAATAATTCTTAAAGCAATCAATTAGTAAAGTTACATGTTTTATCACTAAAAATTATTAAAAACACATACAGTCACGTTTAGACAATACGTCGATGATACAGTGAATTTCAATATTAGAAATATATTATGTTGGATAGAATGTTCTCCGTGTACAGGAGGGGATATCAGAAAGTGTAAAGTCCCAAGACTTGGTCGGCCCTGGAAGCCAGATGAAGTCTGAAAGTGCCCCGCGTGTTCGCCTTTGTCGAGTATGTCCATGGACTATCAGTACCCGCGAGATCGAGAAGCTTGCTGCACGTGTTTCATTGACGGTCGTTGAGCACTCGCAGCAAGGATCCGATTAGCCTGCAGGCAAATTCTCTCCGTGATAAACCTTGCGCTTCATTGCGCTTGTTACTCTACCTCTCGCCTTTAACTGTTCTCAGAATCGTCTCACGAGAATCGACGGTTCTTTGAGATCTTTAGTATAGTGATATCCAAAACACTGGATCAAGAATGAAAATCGCCACCACATTATTCCTCTTCGTAGTCGTCGGTAAGTAATTGGTTTCTTTCTTGAAGAAATGGCGCGGCTGATTCTTGACCTTTCTTTTCGTTGATTCATAAAAATGCATTATTTATATTTGCACTTTTACAGGAAATAAAAGTAACAATATATATTTTTATAAATCTCTGTCAAGTTATTAGCGTAACTTTCTTAAGAAATTTCAAATGGATTTTAGCCATCCAAGTTTATTGTTCGGAGGCAATTGCAAGATTTTAATTAATATCTTGGTACTTAATAATAACTAAATTTCAAATTAATGTCACGTTCGAAATTTGCAGTTTTATTAAGATAAATGTCACTAATGGAAAATTATCCCAGCTGCGCTACTTCTACCACGTAAGATGCGTACAATACAGTACAGACAGTGGCTATCGATGTGCATGTGCATCCGGTTATTTCGCTCTTACCGCATTGATATCTATACATTAATGCATTGTGTTGATTAGCTTTGAGTAACATTTATGTTAATGCAATTAAGCGTTAGTAAAGTTAAATTAAAAATTTATATTATAGTAAGTTAAATAAATACAGAGATGCACATCTATACCGTCAATTTTGCAACATAAGGATTAATTATTGTGCGATGGAAGAATAGAACAATCGCTAGAAATGCATTAATCGTTTGATACAGACAAATATAAACTTTCATTAAATATTTTAACATTTATAAATATCGATTTTCAAATTTACCTACGCAATCGTGTTTGAAAAACGAAATATTTGTACGATTTTGTGATATACTATAATATTAATCTTTCGACAATCAATGAAGAAAACAAACTTTATATAATTTGAAGTAAATTATCATGAAATATAAGTTGTTAAAAAGAACATTTTAATACCATATTAAAATGGCACTGAAGTTTAATTAGAGTATTTAATAGAATATTTGTTATAATAACGTTTTGAAACAACGATTTGCAGTAGAGTCGAATTTGAAAGCCGATCGCAAAAACCGCCGGCGTTTTTACATGGGCGATTTCATTTGTTGGGCCTTTCTCTTATTTTATTGCGCCTTGTATGAACTGCATAATTTTATTCTGTGCTATCGACTTCGACGTCTGTATATTATTTTTAACTTGACTGCACGTTTCACGCTGTAATTCGATCAATTAATCAGCGTACCTCTTCCTTATATACCTACTAATAGTCTTTCTCTCTAGCAAAGAAATGCCTTGCTCTATGACAAAGTACAGTCTTATTCATTAATGCCTGGACCTGCATTTTTATCATCATTTTTCTCGTTTGTACAAATCACTGAGTTTCAGGCTGTACGTACTACCACAGACTTCTGTAGAAGCGGCGTGAACTACAGCCTGAAACTCATCGATGTATACATGGGAATAAAGGTTATAAAAATGTGAATCCTAGTAAAACTGAGGTCCAGGCATTAATGACTAAGACTGTACGTCTGTACATATGGGTATTCGTTTATAACGTTAGATTAAATTACGACGTTATATTTTCTATAATACTTCGCGGAAAATTCATATCATACTTACAATTAGAGAGATATGTGAATTGTGCAAAAATATAATTTTCCGTAATTTAACGCTACTGTTTGCAATGATCTGAGCGTGACTGCGATGGTTACGCATTGTGAAAAGCAGCCGGACTTCTTACGGGCCGATACTGTAGTGCATTGCACTCGATGCATTACTATGTGTCATGATGCGTCATGAACAGTGGAAATTTCTTTTTTTTTTAATATTTTAACCTACTTTTACACGGAAACTGTTAATATTTTTGCAAGAAAATGCAGTTCTAGTCAAAATTATGTTTTCGAGGGAAGATAAGTAAAAAGTTTTTATATAAATAACACAATTTATTTCGTATAATAAATAAAACCAAAATACTTGTGAGTATTTTGTAATAATTCTAGCACAGTAATTTCTGTATTTCGTAATATCTTAATTTATTTAGTAAAAATTGTAAAGTAAGCGTGTAAAATATTTCAGCATGTAAAAAATGGTATTTTTATATATGTCAAATACATAAGTTAAATACTAACCGCAATTTTGCAAATTATTTATCGAACTTTGCTGTACAGCAGAAAGGAAGTTATTGAAATGAGTCGGTGTACATATCGTAAATCTAATATGTGTACATAATGTGTAAATAAAAATGACGAAACTGTACAATTAGCCGTGACTCTCGCCACGTTAACCAATTTATTTCCTAGAATGTACGTTGCTCAATTAGGCTTAATAAGACTTTGAAAATCTGTTTTACAGCTCATTATTTTAATTACTGAGATGAATATACGGTGTAATTTAAAAACTTGGATAAATTTATTATTGATAATAACATTTAGGACAGGACATTATTATATATATATAACAAGACAAAATATTTAATCTAAAAAAATTGCGAAATTTTTGTAAATACAACTTTCCTATATTACCTTTAATTTTTTTTATTTTCCCGATTATTATACAAACACACACAATTATTTCGCGCATTTTTTAATTATTATTAAAATTCTACTAAAGAATGAATAATCTTCGCTAATACTATTTTTTTCACTAATTAAAGAAACTTAAATACTGATTTCTTGACAGCATCATGAAATTGAAAACAATTCGAAGCGGTTTCATATAACACAGCATTTCCTATACTGTACGCCGTAACAATACGCATAACGCTTAGGCGATCAAAAATTACCGCATTGAGAAAAGTATTGCCATTGATTTGCCCAGTGATGCAGAATAGAAAGTGCAAAAAGATTAGGTGCACACGCCGCGAAATGTAGAATGAAAAAAAAATAGAGCAGGACATCGACGAAAGTACGCAATTTCAATCGCTAGATGATCGCCATCGAAAGTGATCCAGGAGAAAGGAATCGAAATCGGCTTCGCTTCTTCAACTATATTATAATTGTGTGTTATTTTTATGAATGTAAAAAAGAAGAGATACATGTCCTAGTTGAGGTTTCTGTGATATCGCAGCATGCAAATCTTATTTTTATTGTAATAAACTTATCTTGTCAACGGATGTGATACATAATTAAAGATGCGCGAAAGTTCTCCCCGCGGTTATATTATTGGAAAATCGGGTTTCGTACTTGTGTCTGCAGTATTATCAATTGAAAGGTAACTATCACAAGTCTAGGCTCAGAATTTGGCATTAAAGTGAAACGTATATTTTTTCCCTGCTGCTGAGTTGAATCGAGGTTAATTATTCCTGTATTGACTAACTTCTGAATTAATCATTTGCTACTTTTACTAAACTGTAAATCCGTTAAGAAAGTCAGAAATCTGTTAAAATTAATTTTTATATATTTGACTGTTTCAAATACTCTTAAGAAGCACGTCGTCTAGTTGACTCCGACAGTGCAAAATCTCACGTATCTTGAAATATTAAAATATACATTGTTATATATTGCCATTATTGATTTGTAGACAATAACTGTTTATTTATTATGTGCCTAATCAATCTATGCCTTCGAATTCAATAAGGCGGTACGTGACAGGAAAATAGGAGAATGTACCGTTTTGAATGACTTTGAATGGACGACGTGTCCAGTCAAAAATTAGGCTGTTCTGAAGAATGACCGATCGCTTGTCAACAACCTTTTTACCGAGATTCGCGGGATGCGTATTTGGGGAATCAGGCCACAACCTGTCTATGTAAATGTCATATCTGTGTGCATACTTTCTATTTAGTTGCGTTCAACAATGCCGTTCTCGTCAAGTCGACGTTTAATCATTTATTAAATTTGTGTAATTGTGAGATAAAATTAATTATTTTAATAAACGCCACAATAAAGAATGAAAAATACATTCTTTAGAGTAAAATATGATCCACTTTCCTTTATTGAACGATTTTACTGTGATTAATGATCGTGTTCGCCAAATCATGTACAATTTAATGGATCGTTGGATGTTTATTTTATCGTCGACAATTGTTAGCGTCTACGAATGGAGAGATTGGCGTTGGTTTCTAACCGTTGAACGAATCGATTTTCTTTCTTTCTCTCTGTAATTAGAATCTGATGATAGAGCAAAGATAACATAGTAATACTATCAAAGCGGCCAACAGTCAAGGTGAAGGCCAGTCTAGGAAAGTATTACATGGTTCGTCCGTATACGATCATTGTTATGTCGTTCGACGATGAGAATCCCGGTTAAGAAAAGTGAATTTCGCCATCGTTCGTGGAACCCTATATAACTGTAGAGAATCATATCGTGATTCAGTTACATCATACACCCTTCAAAAGCAAAAGAGTGAAAGTATGCGGGATTGTACCGCCAGATATTGTCTTTGTTTCGGCCATTTACTAGAAATTTAAACTAAAATTTAAATTTAACAGCTTTTTCTTAAAGACTTTGATTGATCTTGTTAAAATGTTGATCATTTATTTGTTGTCCAGCAAAATAAGCGATGTTGTAGACTATTCTTTCCACGAAACATTTAATTTTTATGACGTATCAGTGTATGCAAATATAAATTAATAAACCTACATGTGCATTCGAGCGCGAATGTTATTTTGAATACAACCAGTGTGATCGAATGGTATCTAATTTATCACAAATCACGGTGAAATTTCGCCGCTTTGATTTCTTTTGCTTTTCACTATCATGAATGACACACACGCGATGTGTCATTACCAGTAGTGTTCTAAAAAAAAAAGGGGTTCACATCCGTTTATCGGACTGGAACGGTTAAATTTCTATTCAGAGATAATTTCTTACATTACGAAACGCCATATTCGTTTCGCCGACTTTCGTGCGTCATAGTGCAATACACGATTGTATAATAAATAAGTAGGAACAGTACCGATCGTTCCTGCTTCCCTTTTGGCTACATTTATAGCAATAAGGAAGTTCATCAGAGCAGATGACGAAATAATGTTAATATTATGCTCTGTTAATTATTAATTTCATTCGTGCACAATAACAATTTGAGTACTCTCCGTCGTACACACCGTCTACACAATCCCTTTTTCAAAGTTTTGTTATTTTCCATCCGGTTGCTTCTAAGTAAGAAAAAAAAAGCTGTCGGTTTTCACTAGTTTGCGAACGACATTTCATAAAGAATTCATTGATTATTATTTTCACGAAGTTCTTTCTTACAATTAAATAAGCGTCCGATGGGGAGGAATTTTTAGTTTTCGGTAAACGATCATAATCTTCCATTGATACTGAAGTTGAAAGCAACTTATGATCGCAATTAATATTTACGCGTATCCAAGCTTGATGATGAATCAGCTGGAAATTGGACAAGAATTTTTCTAATTTCGTCAGCAAGAAAGCAGCTTGACCACATGGCAACCATGGAACACATGGTGCTCGGTCAACGCCAGGGCGTTTGACCATGTTTCAAGTGGGTCACTAGGCTGTGGCCCAACGGAACGCCCCCAATCCCGGAAATATTCCTTAAGCAAATTCTGGAAGTACCTTTCACAAAGTTTGGAGTACTCGTTCTGCAAAGAAGAGTATCCAATTTTTACCAAACATGCTTACTGCGCATGAATTATTTTAATATAATGGAATAATAAGATAATCGCCGCGTTGTTATACCTATAGTCATTCTATAATCATTATCACAATAATGATACTGCGTAGAAAAATAAGAAACAGATCCAAATGAGAAAATAATTACATATTTAAAGTTTGTGATGCATGATACATCATCCTTAAAAGTTTTATCCATTAATAAAAAGTAATATTTCTTATATAATTGAAAATGGAAAACTGCTACAAAGTGAAGGTTGCTTTGAAAGATAATTTAATGCCGTTTGGCCTACAATTCTTTATTGCCCCGCAATGTCTAAACAAAGAGAAAACATGTAGACATAAATCACTATTATTTTTTTGTCGTGGCGGTTACAACGGCGAGGCTATTTGTCTTTAAAACGAACTTCGAGAAAGGAGGAGGTTGGAAAGTAAAAATTCATAAAGTTACTTTCGCTTATGCAATACGATTGATATTTTTATATTATTTAATATAAATGATTATCTGGAAGTGAAAAAATATTTTTACAAATTGCCAATTTATAGTACACGGTTAAAATATCCAAAAATATTTCAATATTTGTTCTACCAATGTTTTAATGAAACTCAATAGAATTAAGTTTACAAGTATACACATAATATAACGTTTAGAATAAGTCATATAATAAAATTGCGGATTAAAGTATTTCGTTGAACATATTTTTAAGGATTAATATTAACTTAAATTATCTTTTACTTTATTTGATTTATTTTATATTCCTTAAACAAATTCTGGAAGTACTTTTCACAAAGTTTGGAGTACTCGCTCTGCAAAGAAGAGAATCCAATTTTTATCAAACATGCTTTATGCGTACGAAATATTATTTTAATATAATGGAATAATAAGATAACCGCCGCGTTGATATCTACCTAGTCAGTCTACGATCATTATCACAATAATGATACTGCGTAAAAAAATAAGAAACGGATCCGAGTGAAAAAATAATTACATATTTAAAGTTTGTAATGCATGATATATCATCCTTAAAAGTTGCTAATTAAATGTGTTGAAGTATATTTTCTGAAAACATGACATTAACAGACGACGAAGAATCAATAGCACAGAATATGCAAATGTTAATTGTACAAACATATATCGTAATATATTCGATATTTATCTGATGAAAATATCGTTTTGCCTCATTATTTAATATATATTGAAGTACACATAATATGCATTTAGTAGTAGTATTTAATTGTATTAATAATAATATCATTATTTTATTTAGTCATAATAATTGGCATTTAACAATTACAAGAAATAAATACAAAAATAAAAATTTCTTAAAAATATTCATTTGACATTTGTTTACAACGAAAGTTACAAGTTAAAATAAAATTTCTATAATTGAAAATGTATGTAAATACATGTAACAGCTTAATAGGCATCATTAACACGCAGCTTTAGACAATGAAATTGATACTTGAAGAGTCATGAAATTATGATTACCTCGGAGCATAACGAATCATGCAGATCATCACTTCGGATTAAATGGATCAGAAGAACGATCCATGGCTTTGTTTCTTCCGGTTCTGCTTGCAGGATGTACGTGGCGAGAGGCGCTAGGCACGTGTGTGTTTCAATCGGACTTTGGTTTTGTTCTAAACTGCGCTTTCAAAAAGTCCGGTCTCTTCCGTGTCAGAAATCTCGGAGGTGTAAAGGGTTACGTCGGCCTGGGTGAGTTGAATATGGGAGCGATCGCCACTTCAATAATCGCGTTTACTGATAGATCAGTTTTTGTATCTGGTTCGGTCGACTAATTTCACATTGGAGAATGTAGAGAAAACGAACGGCCTTGACAAGGTACAGTTATCGTGTGAACAGATCGACAAATCTCGTCTATATTCGTGTCTGCAATTTATGGAAGTTAACAGAAAACTCTTCGAATAATAAATCCTGTCCAAGAATACTTGACCTGTTAAGAAGAAATTAAATTTGATTAAATACGTGTTTCTTTTTAATTATGAAATTTATAATTAGTACATTTTAAGAAGTAAATTATATAGTAAACAATTTTGCGAGAAATCTCTAAAGTTTGGAAATTATATACTAAATAAATTGAGTTTAGCTTAAAGAATTAAGCAATTTAATACGTGTAGTTAAATTTGTTAATACTAAAATGTATATTAATGTTTCCGTATTCAAAATGCTTCATCTTTAATCTTCCTTTGACGCTTGTTTTTTTTAATAAAAAAATTAATTGCTTTCGACTATTTGTGGTTACGTAATTACTTTACCAATGCGCTGTAACGAGATTTTGCAATATACTGATTGTCCTCTTTACAGAAACTGCTTGCAATAAAAACCTCTCCAGAATGAATGATTCTTATCATAACGAGTTAAATGAACATTTAAATGTGAAGCGAACTTTGCTCAGATGTACCCATCGTTCATAGATTGTGAAACGTTCATGCATAGTAAATGCAAACGTTCTATAGTGATTTCTAAATTATACATGACCTGCTTTAACCGTTTTATTTTGTCAGTAGTTCAAGGATTAAGTTTTTACCAGTTTACGTCTATAAATATTTATTACGCGTTTATTTTCCCCATACGATTGAGAAACAAGGCGATTTAAGTCTTACGTTAAAATTTTCACCAACCCGTGCATTATTTGCGTGCTGATGGATGCGTTTATCATGTCGCTACCGGAAAATGCATTCAATCGCATGCGATCGTTACATAAAGTTCCTTTCTGTTGAAAAGACAGAGTGAAGTATATTTATGTGATATAACGATGGAGAGATGTCATAACTTGACAAGTTCCAACTATTGAATCAAATATCTAAATTCTTGTTGCACTTTTCGATTCTCTGTAATTATGACAAATATTGAAATGTGCAGTTTTACTTCTTCATTTCTGTTAATTTTCGATTAACATCTTACGATTTAACTTCTCATTATTACGCAATTAACTTTAATCCCAATATACTTGCAAATAATATTTCATAAGTTATCCGTTTTAACAGCGGAAGTTGCGTTATTCGCAGGACTGTTACGAAATAAGTGATTGGCCGGTATAGGCATAATACTTAATGATTTAACCTGTGGACGCAACTTGTATTGAACGCTACCCTCCGACCGATGTCGCGATTTCGTCTTTCAAGACGTTATGACAAATCGATGATGATTTATTCATCGCCTTGACCTGGGCCGGTTATAAATTATTATAAATATTCCTCGTACATCTTCGTAAAAGAAGACCTTTTCGACGAGGACACGATTTAATGGCTGCAGCTGAAGATCAAATGTCGACAGTGAAAAAATGAGCTACTAGGCGTTAAAATGATGCAACGGCGTTTTGCACAATATCTACAGACTGTTTACTAGCGTTTCATTTGAGCAATTTTATATATACATATATGCTGGTGTTAGTTAACATAGGCTGTATTGGTGTAAATGAAGATGCGATAAAGAGATTTTGAAAACCTGTGATTTTAAGGTAAAATTCTTAATGTAATAAAGATACATGTAACGCATTGTGTGAAAAGATGTATAAAGTTCTACTAAATTATACATGTATAGCTGTAAATGTAGTTACAAAAATAGAATAATAGGAGAAAAAAAGATTGGTGCATCGGTCATGAAAAGGCTACTACTCATATATTGACTGTGACTCTTCGTGTAGTGTAGTTTTACGCCTTACTACACATCTCTATTCTCTTAACACACTTATAGGAAGCTTTCTACAATAGTGCCGTCCTCTCCGCTTTGTAAATAAGTTAAATCGCCGTCTATTGCTGTCTTCTTACAATATTATTTTAAAGGATTTAACTCCTCCAGTTCATATAACGTTTATAATTAATCAAACTAATTTAACCTCGCTTGATTACAGGATTTTCCATTGGAGACGAGCTAGGCTTTGGCCAATCGCTCTCCAATTTGGAAAGTGCAAAAAGAAGAAGCGTGCAATCGAACAGAGTCAATGGACTTGCACTTAATCCTGTGAATACGGTAAGTAAAAAATTTCTAAAGTAATTCAGTTTTTGCTGACTCAATTACGTGAGCATACAAGTAGGACTTTCAGAATATATTAAAATATAAAAATTATACACACGCGGACACACAATTTGTGTATAAATAGTTTCTATACAACACAATACGTAAAAGACCGATCAGTGAACTAAATAAATAGGATGATGATTTTACTTTCACTCGTCGTCGGTTTTGCATTTGTTTCTTGTATTTTCTACTTTCCTTCCTGCCCCGAAGCTCTTTGTGCCGATATACTGATCTTTCGCGTTCGCTTATACTTTCGGGCTGAACATCCTGCACACGGCGCGATAGGTATCGCGACGTGAACGATAGCCACACTCAAATCAGCACAAGGAAAGTCCAATGCAGACGGGAATCAATGCGAAAGTGTTCGCTCGTTATTCACAGAGGCGATATCCCCCCTGGAAATCCGCTTTGACCATTCCACGGTGTGCAATCTAATTGCATCTGCTCTCGATGCAGCTTCTTGATCTCACCTCGCGGTATATTATATATACATACGTAACGATAATCAATATCAATCATAGGATTATATTCATCATAGGATTCTGTAATACCGTTACTAACTTTTCATTTCGCAGCCTCTTCGAGAAATCTGTCTAATGCACTTATTATCATCGCAATCAACGAAATTAAATCTTGCCCGAAGAAATAATATTTATCGCGAAATCTTTATTGTCACACGATCGTAATTTAACTCAAAAGACGTTCGTACTTACATGTAACTATTGAAATTTTGCGCCAAAGTAAATTTGTGTATGCATTACTGAGGTTTACATTAATTTTGCAACCGTTTGTGTGCTAATACAATATTTGCCGACCACGTCCACTTTTACTGATTGTGCCTCTCGGACGCGAAGGAGATTCCTGAAGCGATTGTGAAATATTGATGCTTTGTTCACCCCGAGAAGAGTATCTAGGTCGCAGATCAAATAAGATGGATCGGTTTTTCTATATGACTGCAAGAAAATACGGCTTATACGAGACCGATACCGGCCTTGTTACAACTGGTGCGTGAATGTCGCTCCGGCGGCGACATTCACGTATGCTGTGTTTATATATGACATGTTGCGAATTTACTGACATTTCTTCAGGCAACGCACGAATGACTAGTGTCGCGCAACTTTCCACAAAATGCCGTTCATGGGTGTGCTCTATATTATTAGACTTATTGTCTCAAAGTTAGATTTAAGAGAGAGTATTCTAGCTAGGAAAGATTATATCTTCACTTTACACTGAATATATAAGTCCATTATACCACATAAACCCAAAATACACGCGAAGATATTATCTTTATACTGTTATTGCGACAAATGTTACCACATGCTTCAGTGGTCGAATTGGTGGGACGCCCGCCTAGAGAGTAGGGAAGGGCGGGTTCAAACCCTGGCTGAGGTAACATTTCTCGCAATAAAGTTTCTGTATTAAAACATTGGCCGGTTAATGTCGACTAAAAAGCTTGACCCATTTTAACTAAGTTAAATTAAAGTTAACAGCTTCGAAAATTTCACTTAGTTAGGATAAAAGTTAACCCATAATGAAAGCAATTGAATTAAAAGCTAAGTTAATAATGAAGAGAAATTAAAAAATTGAAAGTGAAACTTGTTTTGTTTTTACACAAAATCTTAGAAACTCGCGATCACGTAAATTGCTTATCAGTGGCCGAATTGATGGGCCTAGGAAGTAGGGAAGGCCAGGTTCAAACCCTGGCTGAGGTAACATTTCTCGCAATAAAGCTTATACATTAAAACATTGGCCGGTTAATGTCGACTAAAAAGCTTGATCATTACAAATCCATTATTTTTGTAGGCAAACAACAATCGCGATGAACAATCGCGTGCAGGCTCGGTTAATACCCGCCAAGTAGTGCCGCCTTTCAAGCCGTTGCCTATCGGTACGGCCCGCCCCATGACCCAGCAACCTGAACATCAGAAATTGGTAGTGAACGCAACAACTCTTAAAACGTCACCAGCAGTGCTGTCGGCGATGCAGCAAGAAGCGTTGCGTCAGCATCACCAACGGATTCATCAAGAAACCAAGCTGAAGCAACAGCAGAGAATACAACAGGAGGCGTTGGCGGTACAGATATTAAAACAGCAACGTCTGCAACAGCAGGAAGCAATGAGACAGCAACAAATACAGCAACAAAAGTTGCAGCAACAGCAGAAACAACAGCAGCAGCAAATACTCGCGCAACGACAGCAGATTCTGGCGGGAGAAAAGAAGGACCAACTGATTGTGGTGATATATTTTGGTTTAATCTCAATGTATTTAATTTGGAATTCAATTAACAATTAAATGTCGTTCCGGAGACTTCGTAACAATTCTATATCAAACGTATACACACATTTCTAGTTCTATAGCTTTGATTATTGTCCCAATGAAAAGCTCTTTGAGCAGTGTCAGAAATATAATATTTGATTGAATCTTGGTAACACACGTGTAATGTATATAGGCACTTTGATTTATCCCTATAATTTACTCTGCATATTTTGGTTCTCCACAGTCACCACAAATGATAGCGGTGGCTGGAGCGATGCCGAAACTACCTGTCGTCGCCGCAATTCCGTCAGTTGGTATGGTCGAAGCCGAGGCCCTTCCATCATCAAAGGCGACGACTAATTTAGTCTCGGCAAACGCTGGTTTACCGCCTTTCATCGCGATGCCGCAGTCGTCTGCGAAGCTCACGAACAGAATCAGTGGTAGTGGCACGTTGCTACAGGACTCCGACAACGAAGTATCAAAAGATGATTACACTCAGGTATAACAATAACTTTATTAACTTACTCGTATCATTATAATCCCGTTATATAATTTAATATTCTGATTACCACTGTAGTTAGCGTTTTACCGTAATTATATATTGAAATATTTTAAATTGTATTTCGTCGAAACTTTAACTCTTATACGTTGCTCGATAAAATGTCGCAACATATTTTGCGCAAATAAATTACGTGACGTAAAGATATATTTAAACATTACTTTCATACAGTTACCTTTGCCGAGCGACGAGATGGCTGCTTCAGTAAACGAAATGACGCTGCTCTCGCTGCAGCCCATTTCTGCAAGTGATGCTGGTCAATCGCCTCTTCAACAAAATGAAAAGCGACAGTCTTTGCCACTAACCAATAGTTTACCTTCCTTGGCCCCCATTCAAGGAATGCAAAGCTCCTTGAAAGCTCTTGCAGAAGCAAGTAATATTACTCTAGAAGCCCTGGAAGCAGCGATTCTTCTAAGACAGCAACAGCTTCTTAAAAAGCAACAGGGACCCACTACAAGTACCAGTACCACTACAACATCCACACTCGCGCCCCTTAAAAAGTAAACTATTTCCAGTCAATATTCAACTTTTGTATATTTACTTTGCAGAAAATGAAACGTGTTTCGTGTAGAATATCTTGTTTAATTTGTATATAATTTATACCCAAGAAAAATGAAAAGTCAATTTGATGTCATATTGACCAAAATATGACACAAATCAGGTCAATGTGACATCAAATTGGCATCGTCTTGACTTTTCATTTTCCTTGGGTATATAATGTGTTTCATTCTATACTGTACATACAAGATAATATAAATGACGAAAAGAAAAATGAAACACTCTTGTTTACAGTAAATATAATTCCGGAGCTACCAAAGTGATGAATGCTCCGCGTGAATACTATCCCGTTGGATACGACAAGAATTTCGACGACAACTTCGCAAGTCGCGTCGATCTGCCGGATACAAGCTTCTATTGTGGCGATCAAAAGCATTTCCCGGGTCTCTATGCCGACGAGGATCTGGGATGTATGGTAAGGCTTTTCCAAACTCCGTTACATTAAAGTCATCGTGTAAAGAAAATATTCATTCAACTAGTTTTATGCTGGCTCTCGACGTTCTGAAAATTCTCGGAAATAACTTTGGTGTGCAATTAGGTGTTCCACGTTTGCGCACTGACTGATGACGGTCTGATCATGAAGAGCTTCCTGTGTCCGGAATCGACGTTGTTCGATCAAACGATTCTGAAGTGCAACTGGTGGTTCTACGTAGACTGTAAATCTTCAAAGAACCTGTACGACAGTAATATACCCATCAGCAAGAGCTATCAATTAATGAAGGCCCTGGCGTTCTTCTCAGCGTATAAAAATCACGACAACAGTACAAACAACGCGGAGGAAAGCGAAGACAATTCTTGAGTCAAGCAGCAGATTAATCAAAGATTCATAAGCTCAATATTCAATATCTGGAAACTATCTTGTTTCCACGATACAACTTCTCGTCTAGTTTCAAATATTTTTTTATTTGTATATACATGTATAATTTATTCTATTAATAGGGAATATACACACAGTAGGTTTTTACTTTAGAGGCAATGTAAATAGTATACTCTCCTGTTTATTGTTGATAATAATAAATAATATGTTTTTACGTAAAATTCCTTGTGCTGAAGTTAGAGCGTTGAAATAAACGGGAAGCAGAGAAATAGAAGATAAGAAGGAACAATGAAGAGAAAAAGCGTGATATTTATTAATGCTCAATATATATATATTTATGGTTACTCAAGAACAGTGCGGATTTAAATGCTGCATTACTACAACGAATTGGCAAATACACATGATCAGTCTCTTTTGTTTCATTATCAAATATCTCGAACATATTAAAGTCGTGTTTCGTATTAAATTGCTCCGCAGCATGCATGTCTATACTTCTATACATATAAAACGTACAAAAGTTTTACTATCTATCAATTATTAAAAATTATTTGTACAGGCGACGAAAAAGGAGTTTTAATTGGCGATATATATACTAATAAAAAATACTACTAAAGGCAGTTTTTTTTTGCATTAAAAAATCGTAATGAGCATGAGTGTCGAGGGGATTTCTACTCAAAATCCTGCTTGCCCCGAGAACACGACAAACAGCAAGACTCTTGATAAAATTGGTAAGAACAGAGCCGAGCTTGTGTGACTAAATTACAGTTAGCCATTTTGTCTTTGCAAAGCGGATTGTCTTCAACACCTGAAATAAATAAAATTTTAATATATAAAGGTGAAAATATTATTTCCTATAACATTGTTCGTATAAAGGATCGTTTCGTTTTACAGAAACTACAAAATGTTAATGTAAAAGCTCTGTAGTTACTAAATTATCGGTTTCTAAAACTTAGGAATTCTTTCAACCATTTGTTATTTCGGGATCGTCCTGGATTTGAACGACTCTATGAGAAGTTTCAGGCGCTCGTAGGTCGTCTCTGCAAGGGAAATCGTTGCATGTCCTTCGAGATACTGCTCGATCCTCCTCTCGGCAGTGAAGCTGGTGTAATTCAGGTAGTTGGCCATCCGGATTCAGGCATCGGACTTCGCGTTTCTGTACACCTTTGCCACAAGATCGCGAACACTGCAGGCCGATTTTTTGGGAGCAAATACATTTGTCAAGTTCTATTGTAGCCTTTGAATTTTAATCTTGTAATTTTAGTGTGATAAAATGAATACTTACCGGCGTCCAGTCTGATAAAAACCAAGTAGAGGTGCAAGGACGCTCTCTACATGATTTTCTACTTTCAGGTTTGTTCGCAGGACAATTCATGTCCAAGACGACACGTAAAGAGCCTCGAAGAGTTGTAACACATACAACATCTCTAACTTGCTCACCCACATCGCAGTTTGAAGAACACTAGATAATATATAACTATTTTCATTAATAAGTAATTGAATTCTACATTAATGCTTAATTGCAAAAAATATTTTTGTACTGAAATAATTATGAAAACCGTGAAACATAATCACATATATTCTTTCGTTATAAATTTTTATAATACGTATGTGTGCATACACGACATATACAATCCACGCATTATCTTTATATAATATGTACGACTTCTACTTTCTAAGAATATTTTTCATTAATTAGACAAATATATTTTTAAGCCTGACCTCCGTCCAGGGCCCTGTGAACCATTGACCGCTGCAAGTTCTATTGCTCGAACAATCTCTAGAAGTTTCAGGTCGACTCGATTCGTCACAATGTTCCTCGTCAGCATTCATTTCGCAAAGAACTCTTCTAGTTTGAACTCCAGTTCCACATTCTGCCGAGCACTAAAGTCAATGATTATAAATTAAAACCGGCAGGATAATTTTTTAATCTGCATATAATTTCAAGTATGGTGTTTTAGAAAATATAATAAAAAACTTGGAAGAGTGAGAACAAGATCGGCCCCATTTTTCTCGCGTCCGATTTTGGTCACAAAGTAGATACCAAACGACAGGTCTCGTCAAGCTGATTGCAGATATGTCAGTCTGAGAGTGTACCTATTTAACGTTTCAGAGATGTCGGGCTCCAAAAATTCCAAAACCGGGTTGGAGTCGACTAAAAAGTTTCCCAATGGTCGATGCTAATGACATCGTCCTGCATTTTCTATGAACCTAAGTAAGTTTTAGGTGGATTAAGTGATTTTTGGAAACCCATTGGGAAATCTTTCAGTCGACCTCAACTTATGGACACTTGTTCTCACTCTTTCTGTGCTTATTTTTTATGAGTCTTCTCTTAATAAGTTATCGCTGATATAAAAAATAAGCCAATCACATATCTATTCTTATTAGAATGATACTTCAGTTCTCGGTCAAATGGTAACAGCTCACCTGGTCAGACCACTCAGTGAATAACCACTGCGAGTTCTGTAGCTTCGCAGAAACAACGTTCAGCGGCGTTGATTTCGCTAGGCATGGTCCTGAGTCGCACGTTTCATGTACCTCAGGTTTTTCTGAGAGATCGCACGGAGCACCTTCAGTAACGCAAGTTACGACTCTCGTTCTTTTCCCCACGCCGCAGGATGTGGAACACTTTAAAACCAATAAAAAATTGCCATCATTTGATTGAAATATTTGTATACAGATTATATATATTTAAAAATTGTTTATATCAGGAAAATTAGAAAGATAGCTTTAAATGTTAAACCTGAAACAGATGTGAAAGCATAATTAAATATTTAAATCTGACACACATCGTTATATATTTTACTTCATCTACTTCTCTTATATAACAAGTTATCGATATACATAAATCGATAATTCTATGCGTGTGCGTCTGGACAAAATTACCTGCGACCAAACGCCCACGGTCCATCGGGGAGCCAATGATTGAGAGGGAGTTTGCGTCGACGTTTGTCTGATCTCCTCGCACGCTGGCATCTCGCACACTTCGCTCGTTGGCAAATTTCTTGGTTCGGTGCAAGCACCGTCGGCGACTCTCATTGTCAACGACGGTTTTACTTCCTGCACGCACTCAAGTTCCCGTGTGCGGATCCCGACGCCGCAGGAAGTAGAACAGTCACTCCATGGTCCGCCGCGCCACCTTCGAGAATACAATTTTTATTTTCAGAAGAACGTAGAAAAGGTGTTTTAAATAATTAAACGCGTATTTATTTATTATCCATCCAATAGCAATAAAAACATAGCTTAAGTTTTTCATTGCAATAATACATTTCTTTACTTGGTCTTTATTAAACATCTTATCGCAAATAACTTTTAAGAAAGTTAATAAGGTTCTTAGTAACAAAATTATGTAATAAGAATACTTATGGAATATAAATTAAAACCAATTACTTGGGTGGACATGGCATGGTGTTGCATCTGAGACGAATTTCGTGCAGTTTCTCTAACCCATGACATCTCTTCTCCGGTACTGGCTGCTGCGTGTGCTCTTTGATACACACGTGTCTGAGTACCTGTACACCTTATGTAACACATTACAGAAACCATTCGTACATACCTGCAGTTCCCCACATAACTTGTCATAAAACAAACTACTTATCAGCTAATTTTCGTTTACCTCCGCCGCATGATTTACTGCACTCACTATGACCAATCGCTTTCCAGATAAATTTTCTTTTCCTGTAACGTCGTGGCGAATACGGTGGAGATGTTACGTCACTCACTGCTGGCCCATTTTCGAATCTAAAATTAAATTCTTTGTAATTACTAAATTTGAAGCATGACACTTATTATCAAAAGACGGATTATATAAGCGATGCCTTAATTTATTGAATTATACGTACGTTAATTAACTTATTAAGAACTACTTACCTTCTATTTTGTAAGCTATGCTCAACGCCTTTATTGGTAACTGCAATAAAGTAATTTTTCATTTTGTATAAATTTTTGCATGTGTGTGACATTTAATTTTTATAACTTAAAGAAAGGATAACTTTTAAAGCATGATTTTTGCTGGCTTGTCAATTTTTTTAAATAAATTTAAGCTCAGTCTGAAAATGGCACTCCAAAAAAAGTAGCGGAACGCAATTCTTCGTCTGCATTACGAGAAATATTTTAAAATCAGCAAAAACTAATGCTTTTAAAATTACTGTTTTCTAAATATACATATATGGTTACGATAAAGTAATACCTGAATTATGCGGGAAATGATTACTTCTCGGTAAATTTGTATTTCCGGGAATGCGATATCGGTAAACAATACCAGGGTTTGGTTCCTGATACAAGACCTACGACAGAATAAAATTAGATTAGGTTACTTTAAGTAGATCCGAATTAAGAATAATTGAGATCTAATTTTTTACAAGATATCTAGTTTAATTATTATTGGGTAATTTTTACTTATTGAATTATTGTTAGACAACGTTCAATTATTAGAACTTAATATTCCGAAAGTGGAACAGTACGCAATTTAACATCATTAAACATAGAACCTATACGATTTATGACAATGTGTAGCGGAAAATCAGCGGTGAAAGGGTTAAATGGAACTCGGTTGAACTCATTAACGCCCACGATTGCTAGCGCGCAACAATTGCTGCTCTTAGCCACTATTATTACAGGCGTGTTATAACAATGTGTGCAATTTAGCCAGGAGATGCAAAGTATTCCGTAAGATATAAAGCATATTTTATATGTAACTAGCGGCCTTACCCGGCTTCGCTCGGGCCTCCTTTCTCTTAAATCACTTTTTTTTAAATATCATTCTTGTTCAATACCTTTTTTAAACGTCTCTTTACATATATCTTAATTCCATTTAAATTTATTTTTCCAGTTTCTCTCGGGTAACATCCAAAAATACACAATACCGATCCCAAAAAAACCTTTTTTTACCCAAAATACAGAATCCCGAGGCCAAAATAATTTATACCGAAGTAAAATTTATGTTATATTATATGTTACTTACCATGACATCTATAGATTCCTGTAACGGACCCGCGGCAGAAAAGCTTTCTAAATTCTGAGGACTCTGACGACGATAAACAAATGTTGTTCCGGCCCCTTTGTACTCGCCAGACCAGTTGATAAAATTATTCCCATTAAGCAAGTAGCTACCATCTTGCAATCTAATCGCTGCAAATTCATTAACGTGTATTATTACGTATTCGTTAAATTCTAAACCTGTTGACTTTATGTGCTGCATCAGAGATACAGATTATATGAACAATATAGTGAGAAAATTGTTTACATTTATATTGAAACAAATAGCCAGCGCTATTAATTATCACCTTTAGATTTTCCATCTGACTGATTACTATTGCGAGTAATTACGTATCTTAAAAAATATATATGTATGTACATAAGAGACATATTGATTAGTTAGAGATAAAATATACTATAGTTAGAGATGAAAAAATTACGAGGACCGCAATCTATTTGCGAATAAATTACTTATTTTTAGTTCTATTTATAGAGTGACGATGATCTTCGACACGTCGATGGACATGGATCACGCTAAAGCTGGCAATCACGATCGTTTAAACGAGACTTGGGCGCGCACAATAGCAGTCGTTTATGAGCGAGTTTACGGTCGCGCGCGATTTATGTAATCCACGTGGCACGGGCCGGTGCATCTAATTTAGCGGGACAACGGGCACCGTTCCACTTACGATGCCGTGAGTAAGATTAGATTACGTTACGTTACAAGTGTAACCCGCAAAAAAAAGAACAAATAGATTAAAGCTGTGATGCATTTGCGGAATTTAATTTCCAATTCCTAAAGTTCAAGGGGTCTACTGCAGTCGACAATAGATGTACGAATTTTAGACAATAAACGGCATTGATAAGCAACAACTTAGGCAATATTGGAAAATGAGTTTCGCTTAACAAAAAATTTCTTAATTCTAAACTGTTCTAAACGAAATAACTGATCTACATAAACAATGTCGGAAATAAAGATAAAAACTGCGAAAATTTGTTTCCATTTTCGGCAATACACAGTTGAAAATTTTATGTTAAATTTAACAGATATCACATATCCCAAACGGTCCGCACAAATTTTTGTATTAATTTAACATAATATGGATATGTTAAATGATCACACTAATACTCTGTTAATATTTTAACACAAAATAAGTGCAAATCTCAAAATAATTTGAAATAAATTTTGGATAAAATTAACATATTTTTAATGACATAATGAATATTAGAAAATATAATTTTTACATTTTACAGATGTAATAAGTCAAATGATGGTTCGAAATCACTCTCACTTATGTTATATACAATAGAATAAAATCAACATTTTATTCTGTGAATTTTAACAGATAAATTTTGTTACTAATAATATAGAACACATGTATTGTGTAAGATTAAAAAATAAGTACACATTGTGTTGTTTTAACATTTCTTTTCAAGTGTTTTAATAATTTTACATTTGAGGTCAATTAACGCAGGAGTAATATGTTAAATTAACACATGAATGTGTTAAACATTTAACACAAAAATTTTAACCGGCATTTTCTTTAACAAGAAAACACAAATTTTCCAACTGCGTAGGTGTACGCTTTTTTGAGGTGCGATAAACCCCTTGGTAATTTTAATACGTTCTACAATCCGCTTACAAAATATTCTAATTTGTTAGAAACGTTACATAATATAATTTATTAACTTTACTTTGTCACTTTGACGTTTTATGTTCTTTAGAGATTGGATAGACTTAATTTTACGCACAGCAATTTCCTATCGATTTCCCTCGAATCATTCATCTTCACAGATTAAGTGAGGATAATGGGAGGCGCGATCACGTCGGCGGTAATGAAGGTTCCGACAGTATTGTTAACGATCGCAACTAATCACGCTGCTGGCGACTCATTTGCTTATCGGCGATGCAATCATTGTATAGGAGGCGCATTGATTACGATCTGTTATTCGCATCCTGTGAAAGGTAATCATTACATTACTTCGATCGAGCGATGAATGGATTCGAAAGGCATCGAAGGTGATACAATGACGAACACCTTCATATGTAATGGAGGCTTCATTTTTTATCAAATTTTAAATACCATATCGCCAAATTTGTTGCAAAATGCGTGTCCTACACTATATTCTTTTTCTGAGCATATAAATATTATTTTAAACATTGCTAAAGTGTTTGTTATTTATCGTTATATTAACCATTTGTTTTTCAATGGTTTATATATTTTTAAGTGCCAATTCAATATTATTTACAGCCGGTTTTTATTATAATTTTTGCTTTCAAAATCTTTTGAAAGTCACCGCAAAATTACTTAATTTATGTACATACCGTTCAAATTAATTAACGAGAAAGAGAAGGAGTCTGTGTGGTTTACGATTAATTATATTGTAAATATTTTGGAGTTTTCAACACATGATATTGTTTAAAAAGTATAATCCAAACCTGATAATTATGCACATGAATTTTGCGTAATGAAGTTACATATATTTTTTAGTGCGTTACATTATCTTGAGAACATTGATGATCTCTACAGAAGAAAAGAGTTAATTAGTTTTCGTAGATTCAATAGTCGTAACTACTCATCGCGGCTTGTAATACGTCTTGTTGTTTTATGGCAGGAAATAAAGACTCGGAAACAACTGAGATGTCTGATGTAATAGCTATAAATCAGCTAAATAAATGGATGCCATTGCTTTAATGATAACATTTGCTTTCAATTCTTAATTCTTGAATTTAATTCTCGAGCTTTTTGTAACTCGACATAAAATTTTATTGCGAATACAAACCTCGGTATAATAGTTTCATAATTTTGCACAAATAAAAAAGAGTCATTTTTCTTTTTCTTTACGTTACATTATCTTTTTATCTCGCAAACAGAATGCTTATCGTAAATTAACGCGGACAACGTAATCATTCGCAGGACGATGATGATCTTAATTGTCGGGTGCGGTCGCCATTTAACGACCATGCCATGTAACGGGTTATCGTAAACAGTGCATAAACAGTAAGAAATCGCGGTAGGTGGAAATGCATTCCTTGCAACCGGTTGCCTGCAATTTCCACGAAATCCAAAGCAATACCACTGAATTATTCTACCCGGCGCCAACCGCGCAATTAATGTTAGCACTGATCAGTATCTAAACGTCAGTAAAAAAAGTTACTAGTCACGTCCTGGTCATGTAACGTCCAATTTACATTGCAAAGTTGCACAAAGTTGCGTACATGCCGACATTAATTTATATTTTGTAATGAAGAAATTATTGTCACCCTTTTTTATCACTTCCTATCCAAGAAATTTTATCCCCTTTGTAACGTTGCGGTTTTAGAAGGCAGGAGGATTAACTTATTCTACGTCGTCAGCAATTTACAGGCTGTAGACTGCCAGGAACAAGAAAATTCGGGACATTAGATCAAGACATGTAAAATTATTTTTTACAAATTTCCATGCCTTCAAAATGGCAGACCAAATTTTTAAGAAAAGTTATCTTTTCCAGTGAAAAGTTATATACGGGAGTTTTTTCGAGTCGCTGATCACGAATATGCGCTCAGATTCTCGAAATTTAAGACGGCGCACCCAATATCGATCGGATCCCGTAAAAATCCAGATTATTCGAGGAAAACTCGTTTTCACTCGACCCACATGCATCTAAACTCTTCAAAGCTACGAAATTTGGTCAAAATATGGAACATATGGAAAAAAGAAGAAAAGTTAGTTTTTACAATCGAAATTAAAAACTGCAAATTTTAGTTTGACGGCCTTATGGGTCCGCCATCTTGAATTTGGGGAATCTAAATATATATTCGTAATCAGCGACCCCCAAAACCCCTGTGTATAACTTTTCACCGAGACAAAATTTCTTCTCCATAATTTTACACATTTTCATCTAATGTCCTGAAGTTTTTAGCTTCTGGCAGTTCACACCCCGTAGATTGCTGGCGGCCTATAAATGAGGTTTATGTAGACTTGAAAATATAAAATATTGCTTAATAATGCCTTTCTGAAATAAATGACAAGCGCTTACGCTTAAGTGTATGATGCAAGGTTTAACGCGCGGAGGTGAATTATTGAAAGTAGTTCAACCATCTTAATTTATCTTCATCAATAGTCACGAATTCCTAGTTCTCTTACCAAGATAGTTCTGCGTGCGACGGAGTTCGGTCACGTTCAGTGCCAAGGCGCCACGTGGGACCACCGCCACCAGATTATAACCCGGTTCCAAAGTCGGCTCCGTGAAAATTCCATCTATCAGATGACCGCTGCCAAATCTCACGCCACACTGAAACAGTCGGTACAACACGTGCCGTGCCAGCCAAGAATCTCATGGGAGCGATAATAAATCGTGCGACTTCGTAGACTAAATTTCACAGTCTCGTGTTCACGATCGAAGATAAAGCGGCCCGCGAAACGGGGAGTGATGAATGACGTTCCCGCGTGCATTTCTATTTTTCTAGGTGTCAAAGTGGAATCGAGAGAATATATATGTATCACCACGCTGATGCCAATCTGCGAAATGAAATTAATGGGAAGCGACACACCCACTTTGGTCGATGCAGACAGGCGATTTACGCTTGTGTGTGCTTGATAAAAATTATCGATTTCCGTGCGTCAGCTACGACACGCTGTGTCGCGAGATAATCCGAAAATTTCACAAGTAGATCGAAAGACAGTTCGAAGTTGTAAGATATAGAGGAAAGTTCACTATTATCAGACAGGCTCTTAATATGAGACAGCGGAGTTTCTACTAAATTAATAGGCGTCGTCTGTTGGTTCCACCATGGATTTATTGCCCTTGGAGTGAGATCTATTTAGTGGAAAATTCATTGTTAGATTGCCGCGAAAGAAGATTGTGATTGAATTTAGATGCTGAAAACCTGCTATCTCATATTAGAAGCCCATCTCATAAAAGGAGACTTTCCTCTGTATTTTTTAGACAATAAAGTTCCTGTTTCCTGCATTTCGATTTATGATAAGATTATGCTTGGCGTTTACTTATTTCCAGCGGAACTTATTGTCGCAACTTCAGCCAGGCGGGGTGATAGAGTGCAAGCGGACCGAAACGGTGGCAAATCGTCGTCTAAATTTACGTCTTGACAGCCATAATTTCGCGTTACCCTTTCCGTTCTCTGGCGCACGGAAGAGCATTTTACATTTGCACGGTTACCGCACCCCCTGTTTTGCTAATGCACAGAAATAAACACCGGCCGCGAATCGTCGGTCCTGGAAATTAGTGCGAGAATAAGCCTTTCAGACCCACTATTCTCAAACAAATATATTTCTATACAAAGGTATGACAAACGCAGCTAAGCTCAGATATTGAGGAAGGTCCTCTATTATGAGATAGGATTCTAATACGAGCGAGCAGGTTTGTAACGTCCAAATTCAATCAATCACAAATTTTTTTTCGCAACGATCGCACGATTTAACAATCAATGTTTCACTAAACAGATTTTCCAAGGGCAATGAATTCATGATGGAACCAACAGATGAGGCCTATTAATTTAGCAGAAACTCCGCTATCTCACATTAGGAACCTATCTTATAATAAGGGACTTTTCGCTAATAATACGACACATTCTCGAAATAATTGACTCTAAAATTGAAAAGAAAATTGAAACAACACATTCTATGCGTTCGTTCCGATATAAATTACATAGGAGTCACACTTAAAATGCACGTTCTTCCGGAACATCTTGCGTGAAGACACCAAAATAGCTTGAAAGCAAGATCTACATCGAGACAGTGGAATGTTTTTGCTTCCTCGCCAGATCGCCGCGTAGATCATCAAGGTTAATTAAGCGATCAAACGGTAGCTTGGAGATGCGCGATTCGACCTGAATCGCGATCAAAGTATTATCACGGTGTACGTGCCACGTGGCCCGGTTGTGGCATGTGTACGAAAGAGAGAGAAAAAGAATTCTCGTTCAATCTATACCGCGAGCCTCTTCCATCAGCTTGCCAGTATCTTTGCGGCAATAAATCATTTCTTTTGCTCCTACACTCCCGCGCTACTTTGCTATCGCTAAGTGACCTTGTTAATCTCGCGCAATATTATCTACCTGTACTATTTTTTTAATATTTTAGAAAAGATTGTTAAGAACGTGTCTAAAAATTATTATTTCGTCAAATGTAAATTATGTCATGTGTCGAATGTACAGCGACAATTTAATTCAACATCTTTAAAATTGGAAATAATTGTTAGATTAGTTTCTAATAATAAGTAGGGATTGAAGCTGAATATAAACTTAATATAATATTTAATACTGTATCTTCCATCTCGACTAAAGAAGTACGTATTATTACACTCTTACAATGCCATAAATTACAGCACCCTTGCTGCAATCTATGGGACAAGTTTTATTGTGCTAGCAAATTAAAAGTAAATCAAGATTCCGGGTTAAGCTCGCCCAAGTTTCTTTGGCAACACGTGTCTGCATGATTTATATAAAGTACAGCGACATAATTCAACATTTTACATGTCGGGGATCATTCTGAAAGAGTGACGGTGCTCGATTGAGGCTGACCGTTCATTTTCAACCGGGTTTAATCGGCGAACTGCACATCAAGCCGCGCCCAAACTGACACTCCTCTCTCCAATTGGATTAACTCGGGATGAATGTCAACTTGCTTGCCGTTTGTATACGCGAGATCGCACGATGTTAATTGTATGAATATCGCATGAGTGAATTTATAAATCGGCGGCGAACAATGAATGCACAGTGGCGTAGAACGTTCAGTGTTGAAGCCGGAATATAATATAGAAAGATTCGGTTAAGAGAACGATATAAAGAACTGGAATATAAATATCTCACTAGGTTTCCAAACTGTAACAAAACACGAGGATAAAATAAGAAATAAAACAATTACTTAGATGAAGAGATCTTTTAATATGATCCTTTTTCAAAATCAATTTAGTTATGTATTTGTTCTTACAAATGTAAGCAAAGTATAATTCAACAATAAGCATTGGTGGCTGTTCTAAATTTCGCGTTTCTTTAAATAATACTTTTTTAACAAAAGTATTTTCAGACATTCATTGTTAAAAATGTCTAACAAATCTGTAACAAATAAATATATTTACAGATAGCAATATTAGATCTAATTATATTCAGTTTGCAAGCGAAACGGGTAAATGTACAATCTTTAAAAAACTTCTTAATTCCAGATTGATTAGCATTTTCCAATGCTTTCGCTGATAAAAATGCTCGTTTCAGCATAAGTGATTGCGCAAAAGTCTTGCATTCGGGTGAAACAATTTCAACTAGCAAGCTAGTATCGCAATTCTAATATCACAATTTATCGAATCGCGTTATACGTCGTAAATAATTACGAACGAACCATAATTCTGTCTGCGTAAGAATGTGTATAGGCTCCTCATGCAGCACCTCGGCCACATTAGGTGTTTACATAGCGATAAAATACGGTCGTGTGTATACTCTGCGTATCGCCGAGTAACGTATGAACGCGCGATTAAGAGAGAACCATTTTCTTTGTGAATGGCTAAATAATTTTCTCGGTTCTCCGAGATTACGCCGCGCGCAAGTCGTCCCGGTTGCTTAATTAACCGCCTCGTGTTATACGATTCCTGTGTTTGATTACCACAACTTAAGTCTCGTTAATTTAGACAGAAAGAAACCTGATACAATGCACAGAAATAGGATGCATTCTGTGTTAACTTCTTATTATTTATCGCAACATGAATAAACAATGTAAATTCTCAGGGTTGGGAAGTAACTCGTTACTTGTAACGAAGTTACAGTTACACACCCTCAGAAAGGATTTCTGTTACTCAGACAAATACTATTCTTCACGCATTTATATTTCTTACAACCTCATATAGTATAAAAATAAGACAATATCAAAATAAAATCAATAATTCTTATTCTCCTCTATCGAATTAAAAAAGATTGACTTACTATATTGAGACAAAAGTAAATTGTACAAACGTAAGTTTATATATTCTTGCGTTTAGAATAAATTTTCCCTCCATCTTACAACGCACCAAGTTGGCACCACGATATTCGACAAAAGACGATACGTACTGTCATTTTATTCTAGATTTTAGAGTTTTTTTATTCAAGATTAAAATATTCCTTTCTCTACAAATAAATATGATTGACGCTGTATCGATCCTATTTTATGATACGTTGAAGTGTAATAACATTGGATCCAAAAATTTTAACTGTAACGCGTTACTTTTCAGAATTGGTAACTTGTAACTGCAGCTCGTTACATTTTTAGCGAGAAAGCTGCAAATGTAACTAGATACTTTTACAGAGTAACTTTTACAAAGTAACTTTCCCAACCCTGTAAATATTTCAATTTATCCGCATTTACAGTGGTCGCAGTACAGAAGCACGAATTGAGGGATCGTTCTGCACTTCGTCAGACTTCTAAGCGCCCACCTTAGCTGGATTATGCGTTATGTCACCGACGAGAGTGAAGTGGAATGAACCTGAGACAGCACCGCGGCGCGTCTCCCTTTTTACGATAATCAAGATCGACGGCGTCGAGCCGATCGTCTCGCGATGATACCTAGCATCGAAATCTCCGCTTACCGCTTATTTTCGGTGCGTTATTTTCGTGGCCACTCAAGCCGTTAAATCCCCATCGCCCTAAATGCGGCGCATAATGACAAACCTGCTGCGCGACGATGCACATCGACGGTCTTTTTATAGGTCCGTTATTCGGTCAAACGTCAAAATTCTTTTAACAAAATGTTTCCTTTATTTGTTACTTAACGCGTAAAAAAATGAAGCAATTAAAAGAATCGTAACACTTAAAAATGGACGCGATCGATACATCGTAAAACGTGTAGCCAGAAATGTAAGTATCACATTCTAATCTTATTATTTCCGCAGCAGTTTTCTGATACCAAATGCAAATCTTCTACGTAACATTTTATGCTGTTGCAACCCTTTCGAGCGTAATAGATAATCCCTCCGTTATTTACGTATACACTATGTGGTCTTCCGCGAGTGTCACAAAGATTTCAGCGAGATGCTTTGAATAATGGAACTTGCCATTTATCCTCCACCTAATGTAATTAATGAAGATTATAAACTGCAAACACTTAAGCGTCCAATAAATAAACAGCAATGAGGGAGGTTCGCCGACAATCTGCGTCTTCTCGGTACCAGCCAAATAAATTCGGTCCGATCCGAAGAAATCTCACGAGCCATTAAACGAAACGGATATACGGAGAAAATAAAGACGTCGTCGCGATTTGGTGGCAAACACGTAAGGGACATGTCGGGGGGTCGGCGTAAACCTCTGGCGCCGTGCTCCCACAATAATGAAGACGAATAGCCGCCACATAAACTTGTCAAATATGTCCGAGTGAATGAATGAAAACTGCAATCTCACGAGCGGACGTAAAAGAATACAACAGTTCCGAAATTTTCAGTGCCCTATAAATCACGCTTGCCGTATATCTTAATGTTTCTAAATATCGCATGTATACTTCGCCTTCTAATTTTCATCTCGTACAAGCCGAAACAGCGATACGAAAGAGAAGCGATCGATGCCTAAAATTTGTGAAATTGAGACAGAAATAAAGGATAAAAAATTATATTATTCTTTGACTTTTAACGTGAAATTTCTCGCATTAAAAGATACCTGCAGCTTGAAAAAAAATTCTTCGTCAAGCGTGTGAAATGAGGCAAGAGTTTCTGCGCGAGGAAAATATTAATCCTCGCTCTTGAGAGAAAAGTATTTATAGAAATTATACGATTTACCGTCGCTCGAAAAAAAGAATTTCTAGCGACTGAGATTCGATTTCGGATCGTGTGGCAGGAAGTTGCACATTCTGCTCCGATTATATTATTCTGCCATTCTAAAAATACGCACCGCCAGCAACACTTTGCCGCAGGAATGCGTTAAGCGAAACTTCCTACTCAACATTCGGCGTACTGGTTACTCAGGCATAATTTACAGTTACGGAAAGCCGACTGTGCGAATATCGGATCACCTGGAAGTTCAATTAATTCTGACATGTCCCCGCGTGTTGCCGCTCATTTACGCAGGAAGAACGATCCTCGCAGGTCCTTAAATTGTCCATAATTAGGCGCCGGTAGCGCTTAAATTATGCTAATAGAGCATCGTTTTACGTACACCGGTCGGTCCGGTTTAGATGGTATTATGATGGCATTAGTGTACAAGGCTGGCCGTTTGTTCCAATTAACATCTTGCGACGCTTCCGCCTTTTCACAAAACAACGTAATGTTCCTCTCTTTCTCACAAAATTGCTTGAATGTGTTTTATATTTTACGCAAACGTGGTTAATTAATATGTAGCATAAAACACTTTGATTTGAATCTACAAATAACCGAAAACTTATAAACGAATAATATACCATGAGAAACTAAGCTTTTCTCACGGTATACGTTAAAAACATTTCTAATTCTGTACAAAATATAAAATATGGAATATAGTTGCAGAACATCGTATTGAAAGTAGAGTAGAAAATAATTCGATCAACTTTTCTAAATTTTTAGTTTATAAGGTAATATTATTATTATTCCAATTAATCTAAAATCTCCTTTTATTTTGTCTTTTATTTAATCCATTTACTATTCAGTTTTATTCACCTCAAGTGAACTTCTACTTTGTAAATTTATATTCTTGCTAGCATGTCCAATGCCATTTACTACGTTCAGGTGCATTAACCTTCGTGGAAAATATATGCACGTATTTTAAGAGAATTTCCCCATCGCACATGTAGATAAAGCTACGGTCTCTTATAAGAAATTCTTATCATCGCAAGATTCTGTTACCGTGTAACACTTTTTATTACCTCGTCGACGGAAGTCTCACCGTCGACCGAAGAAACGTGAACTAAGAAGGAAAAACAGATATTGAAACAATCTCATTTAATCTTCCACGGAAATCGAATAATGTGAAAGGTAAATTCTAAGACATTTTTGTAAACTCATCTATATGAATTTTTGTGAATTATAAACATACTGTTTCTAATGAAACATTTCAACAATTGCCAAAATTGATTATTAATAGAAGAATATTAAAAACAAGACTTCTAAATAAAGATTTACACCCAGAAAAAATATTTATTTAAACAAATAAGATACGCTGAAATCATATTTCTTTGAATCTACTCAATCTACTAAATTTTTATTTACTTCTACTAAAACATTTGCTAGATTTGTGAAGAAATAGATAAGAATTTACTTAAAAATTTCAGTCTTAATCAAATAAAATTTTGGTTAAGGTAACGAAATCATTTCTTCGAAATTAAATAAAAGGCTAGTAAGGTCAAAATTTCAAGAGACTTTATTTGATTTCAAAGAAACTTTTTCTGGGTGTAGTATCAAAACTATACGAGAATAAAATTTGTGAAAGTTTCGGTCGCATAATGGACAATGAGCTCTGTCACCTTTCATATTCTTCGTTTTCATTTCTAACGTGAATCTCATGTGTTAGAGTGTCGCCATTTCTTGGTTCGATGGAAGTTAAACCTCCATGAATTGTAAGACAAAAAATTTTTATCTATTACGTTTCCGTTTCTATAAGAAGAAATTATACGATCGACCCCAGTGATCGGGACTGGCGGCACGATGTTCGTGGCATGTGCCGGAACATATTTACGAACAATTTCGCCCACGTTTGATATACGAGTTTGACATTGAGGCTGCAACCGGACGGCCGCCTTAATGGCGCGGTAAATCACACGTCAATATATGTTAGTCGCGTTGCGCTTATACCTTACCGTTAAAGATAGCAGCAAAAAGGGAAGAACGAGTGGTTGCATCTTGACGGATTTTCGCTCTTGCGGTCTCTCACTGTCGACGCATTTCGCTGCAGCTTCTGGTGGGACGGTTCACACTTTTCTTTCCGCACTGCACATTTGATCTTACGTCATTTTCACTGTTTTAAATGCTGTTTGCGATATTGGTAGATTTCTCGTTGACTAGAAGTAGTCAGCAATCCGAGTTGTTAAATTATGAAAAAATTATGTCCTTGTTAAAATATTGCATTAACACTAATCTTTCTTAATGTTGTGTAGATATTCAGAATAATATTATAAATTATGATATTGCCAATGCTAGTATTTTGGAGAAATTATAGAGATTAGATTTTTTAATTTGGTTTTTCTTAACTAAGCTTTCATTTAATTCTTTAATTGTTTTAAGTAATTTCGGGCAATAGTGTTTTACTCAACGTCAATATGAAAGGTTGAATATTAAAATAATATGGTTTTGAAATATAATAATAAAAAAAATGTGGATATACTGAATCTCTTTCAGTAAATAAATCAAAACGATTAATACTTTTATATCTGTTCATGCAGTTATGTCATGGAATCCGCGATATGATCGAATCTTTAAGTTATTTCTGTGATATTTCGCGAATAGTGACGATAACAGTATTATCATTGTAACATTCCAGAGATAAAACCTCATGAACATCGGCGCGAATCGCGTGGAATGCAATTACATCATCGCCTCTGTAAAGTTCCGACGATTCGCAATTTTACGAGAGCTTGATCGAACCCTAGCAAATCCACGATATTGCTTGATAAAACGTCAATTAAATAATGGCTTTTTTTACACCTATCTCAAATTTATTCGTAATTACTTTTACCTGTAACTTTCTGTCGTACCTTTTTTTATAAAAGTAAAACATAAACATGATTTACACGGTAAAACATTAAGAAATACGCTATCGTCAAATATAAAAACTAAAAACAAGTTGTACACAGTTATTAATATTTTTTAACGATTTCAAACGATTAAAAGCACATTTTACTCCACGAAAGATTTAGATAACGTGTATACTTCGATATACGTATTTCCACGAAAAGATTAATAAACCGCAACAGATGATATTTAATAATGGCATGATACAAGCCATTAAGTTAATTAATAACCCGCGAATTAATTATTAATACGACTTGCTTGCGTTAAATGACGTTTGACATTCAAACCAAATGTTGTAGCGCGAAGAAGCCGGCCGCGGCGAAGGAAATTAAATATTAGAGAAGTCATCGGCTGGCGTGCGTGTGAGAGTGCGTATGCACGTACAATGCTTTCATGCTCCAGTTGCTAGTGAGCGTTAGACAAGAACCTATATTACTCGTACGTCGACCTGTCGAAGGTGGAGTGGCCCGAGGCTAGAATTATCCGCAGATTACGCACACTGAGGAAAAAGTGTTTGAAAATTTATTTCTGGCGTAATAATGTTTATTTCGCTGAACATTATACGCCACAAATAAATTTTCAAAGACTTTTTCTCAATGCATACCAGAGAGATTTGACGCGTTTCGTTACGCGTAACGGTACGTCAAATTAAGACTGTCCTCTTAAATTTTCTCACTTTTTAAACAGATATGTCCATTTGTGCGAGAACGAAATCCACGTGACATCGAAAATCAATCAATGGACGACGTGAATTTCAGGCGCGCGGGCCGCGCTGATTACAAGCGGGTCGTAAATTTCGATCGCTTTAGAAACGAGGAAAGTTTGCACCCGCGCAAATCTATGCAAATCGGCGCGTCGCGGGATAAATTGCCGACAAAGGCTGCGCAAAGTCGCGTCGCCAATTACACGAGTGCGCTTGCATAATCGTATACGATAAATTTGCCGCAGTCGAGCGTGCCCGGCTCGAAGTGTCCACCGAAGAATTTTTGCGGGGACAGAACTCGCGGGGCGGACGGTGAGCATTGCGCGCGCCGTCCGCCGCATATTCTGAAATGCGATAGTTCCTCGCGATAATGTCATTGCACCGGTGAACCGTCGTGTAATCCGACGCGCGTCGTTCGGTGACGAGCATATTTCACAATATTGAAAAAGATTGTCGACACCGTTGACACTCGAAACGGGACTGCGGCGCGTGTTATTTACGCGCGCGCGCGATCGATGCAAATTAACCCGCGTGATATACGATCATTAAATCGCATACGAATTGCTCATTAAGTTTTACAATTATTGCTATTACGACGTTTCGAATGCACCTCGATTGCATCGCGCACGCCTGCACGCGCGAATAAACACGTGCCCGATAATTTTATTAACTTTTTCAGCCGAGCACGAACATTACATTAAATAGTGTGACTCTCCAGTTAAAACTAGTTATTGTCTAGATAAAATTGGGTGATTATGTGCATGAGTTGCTCCAAAGTCGTATTTCTTCAGAAAGCAGCTCTCGGAGCTCCGGCCATTTTAATATATTTCAATGCTACAAGTATATTGTACTATACGCTTATCTTTTGAGCATTTGTATAGCACAGCATTTCGCCTCGGATATCTACTCTAGAATATATTTGCCAGAATAAATTTTAAAAAAGGAATATTTCAATAATTTTTATATTACTAAAAGTCATAAATTTTTATAATTATGTGCATGAGTTGCGGGTCAGACGTATCGTCAACGTGCTCCAAAGTCGTGTTTCTTCAAAAAGCAGCTCGTGGAGCACCGACCTTTTTAATATATTTAAATGCTACACGTACTTACACCACGCTTATCTTTTGAGCATTTGTCTAACACAGACTTTCGCCTCGGGCGTCTACTCTAGTATATATTCGCCAGAATATATTTTACAAAAAGGACATAAAAAAAATGTGTATATTACTAAAAGTCATCAATTTTTATAATTATGTGCAATATATAATAATTGTGCAACAAACGAAATCGATTGTACCGCAGTGAGAATGTTTACACGCATGCTGAAAATATGCGGTCATTCAACGTGTAAGAGCATTTGTTACGGGGTTAGAACATTATTTGCGTGCGTTCCCATGTGTATGTTTTCTATCGGACCGCCGTTTATTGGGAGTCTTACTTTATTGCAGAGAAAACACGTCGCATCGCGCGGCGAGATGGAGCATTTGAGGGAATCTTACGCAAGTTGCGATGTACCGTTTATTTTTACGATTATCGAAACCCCGTCAGCACCTACCGCACTATAAATACACGTTTGCAAAAGGCGAACCTGTGAACGAGCCTGCGAACAAGGAGTCATTTTCGACCGAGTGGAACGTAACTAATCACAGTTTTGCACGTAGCATATTTGTGATCCCGGCTTCGTAATCCCGGCTGCGCGTTCGTAATTATACCAGCTGCGATAACTACAAGAACGGAACTAGGCGTGCTGCTCGTGTTGTAATTGCCAAATGAGATGCAAATAAGTTTCATTTAACCGATTGTCATAGAATGCCCAAGGTGTTACGCATTACTTTAATATTCGTGCGATGAATAAAAGATAATTATTTGTTATTTAGTCAAATTTACACGAAATTTTATTAATCACCGTTTGTGGAAATAAACTAATTACATTTTATATTTAGTTATGCCTAAAAGATATATAAAAGAGAATAAAATAATTAAATATATCTTTGATAAGTTTACATGTTAAAGATGCTATTGTTAATTTTACTTAAATATATTAGAAGAGGTGGTTACATTTTATATGCCTGCATTTAATTAATTACGAAGATCACGTCAAATCGTGATCCTGGTGACTACTTGACTGACCTGTTGCACCGAGTTCAGATTGTATGTGAAATTGTTGACAGAGAATAAACACACTAACCAGGCACGGCAGCTAATATCAACTCACAATCACAGAATACGTATCTCATTTGCAAATTTGCAGAGCAAATTATTATCACGTCATAGAGGTTCATCGCGATTAATCGCACTGTAATTACACAATTATCCCGAACGCGTAGTGTTCGATTCGTAAGCTAATAGACTTATCGCCAATCAGTTCACCAGCTGGTTGATTCATCAATGCCACCGATCGACAAACAGAACATTGTTCCTCAGTGTTGCAGTTGTAAAATATCTTTGTGGAATGGCCGCGTATGGGAGTTTAATGTCCAGTTTATGTCCAGTATTCCTCGATAATTTTATTTCTCGATATTATCTCGCGTGTAAATCTAAACGTATGTAAAGTGCAGGAGGTGCATATCGCAGGCTGGTGTGAGCAGATCGGAGAGTCGAGTTTCTCTGTCAGAGGTGTTGTTTCGTACTGACGGCTCCTGTCGTTGGAGGACCGATTTTATACGCCCGCGTGGAGTCGCGGGACCGAGCTTTGGGCGCCTCCGCCACGGCGCGTCACCTGGCAACCAAGTACGAAGACGTTATTTTAATAGATGCAAATATGCTTTTCTTCGTTTCGTGACGCAAATCTTAAAATAACACAGAAGAGGAGTTTGACGGAAATTAATTAAAGGATCTATTACGTTTATTGATCCAATTGAAAGACGGCCAAAACAAATGCAAATTCGAAAATAATCAAAAGAATTTGTACTTTCTGTCAATACTTTTAGAATACAGAACTTTTAACATACACAGAAATTTATTACCTAAATCTATTAATTTTTCTCAATTATATGTTTACTTAAATCACGTTTCTTTCTTGAAACTTTGAATAATTTGATAAGCTTGAAATTAAGGATTTGTTTTGCAATAAAATTGGCGTCCTTTTAATCTTTTGCGATCTAAATTAAATTGACAAAGAAGAATTATTATTTATAAAACCTGAAAATTTTAATTTATAAAACTTAATGTAACGAAAGCAAGAGTAAATTTCTTTTTTTTTAATTAATTTGAATTCGAAAACAAATTTTAAAACATCCAATAAAATCGAGGTTTAATAATTTAATTAGACATAATCCAAAAATAATCAAAAGAATTTGTAATTTCTGTCAGTACTTTCAGAATACAGAACTTCTAACATATATATAAATCTATTACCTAAATCTATTAATTTTTCTCAATTATAAGTTTACTTAAATCACGTTTCTTTCTTGAAACTTTGAATATTTTGATAAGCCTGAAATTAAGGATTTCTTTGCAATAAAATTGGTGTCCTTTTGATCTTTTGCAATCTAAATTAAATTTACGAAGAATTATTATTTATAAAACCTGACAATTTTATTTTATGAAAACTTAATGTAACGAAAGCTAAGAGTAAATTTCTTTTTTTAATTATTTCAAATGCGGAAACAAATTTTAAAACAACCAATAAAATCGAGATTTAATCATTCAATTAGATATAATCCAAAGATATAATCAGAGATAAAGAGATACATAGTTTATGGCATTACGTCATGGTATAATTAGAGCTAAGTTATTTTATTTAGTTTTCTTTTTTGAATCTGATTTTTCTTGAAAAGTCTTGGTTGAGATCAACGATGACGGGACTTCCAACAAATATATGACAAAGGTGGGACTGGTTTCTCTGTATCAAAAGAGAAGAACGTTCCTAGTACATCGCGTACAACCGGTCGTACATCAAATCTCGGTACTGCGAAACATCAACATGATTTATGATTGGCTAACTGTTCACTATTAGAATCTTATAAAAGACAAATATATTCTTAAATACGAATATACTTGCGCGCGCGTGTGTGTGTGTACATATAAAATATATATATTACTGTAATATATTCTTAGAAAACGTTTCTTGAAAGATTAAAAGACCCCGATCTATATCTGCAGCTGCATAAATCTGCATAAATCATTTTCTGGATTCAAATGTCGGGAAATCGCAATTAATTGTGAGAACCTATTTACTTTCAACGGTTTTAGGAGGAAGCGATGACAGCAACTGACATTGATAACCGATGGGTGACTTTCGCCGGAGTGGTTTAACGTCTCGTTCGCAGCCTAGTTGCATTCGCGTACAAGCCTGTAATTAGCGGTCGCCCCGGTGGCGATCTAATACATCTCCGCAAGGAAATTATCGAGTGGCGCTACGTAGATAGAATTAGCCGCGTCGGTCTGTCGACTGATATCGCTAAATCGCTGGCGTTCCTAGAGCAAGGAGTGCGTTCAGACTGCATCTTGCTCCTTGTATCATCGCCGTTCATCAGCCTGCGCTTCGTTCACTCACGAGGTATAAATAAATACACCGGGTCAACCTCTCGACCGCACCGTCAATGTATGAGAAATAATTTTCGTACGATAGCAGATCGAATATCTCTTTCTCTCTCGCGAGACAACGACCACCGTCTTGCGAGAACCCGTTGGCGGAGTGCAGATAAATAAATAGATACAAAGAATCTCAGGTAAAATTGAAGTTTGACTTTAATGTGGATGAACTAAAAATGTAAGATTACTGTGACACTTGTGTTCTATATTATTTTACACTGGCATATCAAACGGAGAAAGTAATATATATATAAAATATGTAATATATTCATTTCAAGAGTGCTCAAGCACATTTCAATAAAAATAAGTAATCAGAGAAAGGAACAGTGTGACCAGTATAATATTTTATTACAAGCAATAGCGATTGTGATTAAGTGTCCGTTTAAGCTACTTGATTACAGTTATCCCGGCGTAATGATGTTAATTAACAAGATTTAAATATTTATCAGATGTGTCTCTCGACACATTCAAATGCCACGCAATGATTCGATGTAATACGGTGATTATAGCATGGCAAGTGGAGCTAATTGCACGGCTCGTATAGCTACCTGCTTTTTTGCCTGCACCGCTCGCAGTGTCATTGACTCGATGACACCATTCATCGGGATCATTAACGTTGCGTCATAATTGGCCGATTCAGGCGATAACGATCGGTGCGTGTGCTTTCAGCATCGGACAATGCTGCATCGTGCCTGCTTCGCGAGCACGAGCTTTCGTCGACTCGGCGTGATATGGCAGCTCGCGGATTAAGTGTCATTTAACTCAACATCAGCACTTTACGTCTAAAATCACTCTTTTCGCGCCACTGGTTACCTGCAATAATCGTAAAATGCGCCGCGATCGCCGCGTCTGTCCCTACGCAGCGACAACCGTGCCTCGATCCTCGAATTCGTATTATGCAACTTTGAGAAATATCTGGGCACGCGGTTGCTCCAATTTTTGCGAGACGCCCGAGGAGACTGTTATTTATTAACGCGCGGAAATAAACGCGCAATTCATTCACGCTAATGGCATCTGGTACATTCATAACTTATCGGCAAAATCCGCTTCACCGCCGCGCAATGAGCAACGGTTTAATATTAGGCGCTGATCTGCACGGACGTGCATTCTGTTACGTAATTGGCGAGAAGAGCGAAATTTTTGCGCGAATTATTACGGCCGTCTTAACTGCGGGAACGCGAAAACATCGCAACTACGATTAATCCTTAGGTGCCCGCGCCGCGTTATAATGGCTTTTTAAATCCCATAAAACGGCAACGCGCATCTCGCGATCCTGATATCGCTCGGTTTCATTTCTGTGTAAGACACAGCATAATTATGCCATAAATCAACGGCGGGAAGCCTTAATCGAGGTTTTCTTAAAATTTTATTTGCCATTAGCACGGAGTTCTCAATCTTCACTCCTTATAGCTGCGCCCATATTATGGTATTCACAGTTAAAGAGTTCATGCATTAGGCGGCGGTTACAACACAAACGTTTTGCTAAAGGCTACGACACGAATAATCCAACCGCACGATACGGAAAAATTTTTATTAATGTACAATACAAATCACAGGAGCGACATTAAGCCATAAACAAGCCGAGCCAATTAACGTTTCTTTACACGACCTCAACTAAATAGAGATTTTTCATTCAGCAGCAACACGCATTCGCCTTCACTAAACGTTACGTACGAGCTGGTCGAATTTCTCGCGAACACGTGCAGAAACGGCGCAAGTGTAATTGTAAAATCAAACGTAAATAAATATTCAATAAGTGCCAGATAACGGAGAGCGTGAAATTGAGATCTCGATCGCGCTTGAGCGTTTCTCGCATCGAGCCTCAACCCGCTCGATGGCGATACATCTTCATTCCGATCATTGATCCTGGCAGAATAAGGTCTCGGCGGCGTAGTCTCTACCGCGCGAAAATGTAGTCATAAACGTCGTGGGAATTTCTAATGGCACTCTTCGGTGCTGCGCATCGCGGTGCGTAACGTTCATTTAAAAAGCCCGCGTAAAAGGTATGCAAAAAATTTTTTGCTGTAAGTTAGTGTCAAGTACCTAATTGTCATGTAGAGTTTTGGCGCGATCTATCAACCAGTTTGTCTACAGCTGTTGGTTAGGACATAACGTTATAATTGGTACGACTCTATGGAACACCGCGAAAAAATGCTTGCCATGATCCAATCGCTTACACTAAAAAAAAAATATCGTGCTAACACCGGTAGATTTCTAAGTGTCGCAAGAAAACCTTATCACTATTTTTAGCATCTGTCAGAAAGTTGTATTGTGTAAATGATTATCTAATTCGGGTCAACACACCCTCAGAAGGAATTTCTGTTACCGAGACAAAAACTATTCTTGACGCATTTATATTTTTCACAACCTCATATAGTATAAAAATGAGACAATATCAAAATAAAATCAATAATTCTCATTCTCCTCTATCGAATTAAAAAAGATTGACTTACTATATTGAGACAAGAGTAACTTATATAAATGTAATTGCGTTTAGAATAAAAAAATCATTTGAATAAATAAAATAAAAACACAGAACAGATGCTTTATTTTGCACAAGTATAGCAAATAACATAAAAATGTAAGACACTCACCTCACCGATTTCTCCGCTGTTGCCCGATGCCTCCAAGACTTTGCTCCTCCTCTCATTGTCAGATTTCCTTGTTGCACTCACACAACACTTACTCGTGAAAATAATTGATCGCGCGAAATTTCGGGCACTCGCGATGTAAGATACCGCGAAACGCACGAAATATTACCAACAACTTGCATTTTTGATTCGGAAGAATAGGCAATGGATAAATCACTATTGAATTGACGATATAAAACGCAACGCATCGGAATCATAATCCGCGGTAAAGAAGTAGTTATTAGTCCGCAACGAAACGATATTTTACAATCTTAGTCCTTCAATCTAATCCTCGAAATAAATTGTGTGAGCCAAGTTTCCAGGGATAAATAGTTATTAATTGCAACAGTTAATCGAGATAATTTTCCGATTACGTTTACATAACGTAACGACGTGCGATAAGCGACTTTCTTTACTTCCTGCCCGTTCGAGTTGAGATGTAACCGCGACAAAGTACAACGGTTTAAATTCA